CAATCTTAGTTACTATATGTAAATAATTGGTATAACCAATATAGTTTTGCATTTAATCCCTCTAATTTTTCATTCAGGCTTAGTTAGGTTTCTCCTATCTATAAAGTACAGTACTGTAAGACTGTTGCGAGACTCTTGTACAAGACCAAGACCATGACGAAACTGAGTTTGCAAGACCAAGACTCGTCTGGGTCTCGCATTTGGGCAACACTAACTATATCCTTAGAATGACTTTGCCACGATATTGATTTACACAATGAGCTGCCAAATAACAATCAAATAATGACATGCTCAGAAACGACATTACTTTCCGATCTCCCTAATAGCTCAGTGTAACAATGCATGTATCAAGATGTAACGCCAAGCAGAACGATTTATACTGAAATAATGAAAAAAAAAAAAAGTCTACCAAACAAGGTCAGTATAGCATCCTCACCGTTTTCGTTATCTAAAATATTACAAGGTATACAATTTTTCGTATGAGAATAAAATCTCTGGGGGAAGCCAATTCGGAAATACAGCTACCTTCCATCATTCGCGAATTTGATCTCCACGAATTAGGTTTATCTAATATCTAATATAATAATAAAATCAAATATTAAAATGCGAAAGAGTGCCGTATTTGAAGATTCCATATTTGATTATACTTAATTACAAAAAAAAAGCATACTGGGCATGCATTTCACTACTGTTAGTGCTAAAGGTCGTATGTAAAAATTTATTGTTTTGCAAGAGTGCATGAAACCTCATTGTTTCTTATTCTTCATTAGTATAATTTCTAATTTTATTGTCATCTGCATTTTCCATAGTAGCAGACTACTTATATCAGTTGCTGACTACAAAATGTCACCTTTAGCACAAATAGAATAAAAGTTGAAAATTTTTACACGAGCTTTTGCACTAATAGTAGTGATATATACTTAATAGGTATGTTTTCGCTCGTAAAATGGATGGAACCAGAAACTCCACAGGAAAAATTCAACTTGTTGTTTGTTCGGAGTTAACAAGATCAATACTTTCCTTCAGTCAGAACAGAACGCATTAAGCTAGAAAATATAAAAGTGTAGGTGAAGTTCACACAACTTCAATATTTAAGGAGGAAATGGAGACCAAGACTTTTTTTTTAATCATAAATACTATTAAAATATTAAAAATTCTATTTATTATATCACCGGTTGATTATGGATTACACGAAGAGTTTCAGGTTTATTGTTGATTTTCAGGATGAGATTGTGGATTGTAAGATTATTGGTTATTCAACTGTTATTTTCCATTGCAAAGTTTATTAAAACGTAATTAAGAGATTTGCATTGTCTGTCATAGACAGATCAAAAGTTGTCACACTAATTGTAAGTGGATTCTGTTGGAATATCACAGAAGCAAATTTCATCCAACTATTCACTAATTTAATTTTCGAAAAGGTTACATAATAATTTTTCGTTATGAACGGACGATAGATACCTAAATATTTAAATATAATATCAGATCTAGTGTTATTAAACTACAGTAAATATATTTAAGGGTATAAACGTATCTATGAAATATTTTTATATTACATTTCTTCTTTCACACAAGTACAATGAAATAGTAGTGGATACTGTTAGAATATCACAAAGGAGAGATTTGTCAAATTATTCATTAATTTAATTTTCTAAAAAGTTACATGGCAATATTTCGGAATTAACGGACGTTGATACCTAATTACTTAAATATAATATTAGATCAAGAGTTATTAAACTACAGTAAATGTATTTAAGGTTATAAACATCTACATCTTTATACATCTATGAAATGATTTTATATTTTACTTCTTCTTTCACACAAGTACAATGAAATAGTATCTTAAACAATGCCATTGCCTTGATTAGGTGGATTTTAAATACTTTTTCAAACTTAAAAATATTTTAAAAGTATACATTTAGTTAATAAATTTAATTTAATTTCTTGAAAACATGTGATTACGTTGAATATTATTAGTTTTCAGGAATTATGATTTATAATTCTTTGCCACTCTCCGTTACTTTCTGCAACATTCTTTATTAGATATTGTTTTTTCTGAAATTCTTCCCTTTCCAATGTATTATACATACGCCTTCTGTCTAGTATTTCCGTAGATTCATTTTCGATCTGGATAGGGATTTTTGTTTTTTTATGCTTTATTCAATTATCAAATTCTTTCAAAAGCTATATTTAGTATTTTTTCGTAAGTATTAATAATGTGAGATGATTAATAATTAAAAATAAACCATATTAAAGGTACTTTAGAGAAAAACGCATATGAACATTGGGGATTTAAGCCCTGTAAAGTGATATCAATGGGGATAAGACCTAAATGATATTAAAGACCACTTTATTATACAATGATACAAAGAGTTTAAATCAAAATCGTTAGAGGCGTTTTTGAGAATATTGTAAAAATGTGTTTCAGCGTTAATATAAAGTGGCACTTCCGGTTAGCCGATTTTAAGGAAAATGTTCCTGTCACATCTAAGGCATATACCTATCTTAAATACGTAATATCAGTTTCGTACGACTTTTCGGTTTTGAGCTAGACTGCTAACATACGCGCGCGCACACACACACACACACACACACACTCACAGACACACGATACTTTTTTCGAGGCTTGGTTATTTGGACTAAGGGTACCAAAAACGTTTATTTCCGTTGTAAACTCAGATTCAAAAATTTTCACGACCGCAATACTTACTCTTATTATATATTACATATATACGTAAGTGGTAGTAAAAATGTAGTAAAAAGAAACTGTAGTAAACATACGATCTTGAAGTAGACATGTGAATTTAAAGATGATTACATACGAGTGAGTTCACGTATTTGTACAAATAAACAATATGATACATACATATATATCTGCAAGATATCGGTATAGTGTAACTGATATCTCTAAAGTACAAAATAACTTTATATTACACATATTCGGAAGATTGGTTACTGAGGAGATGGAAAAATAAATTATGTTTTTAAATGAGGTCAGGGAGGAGGATTTCCGGAAAGAGGTTGGTAGGGAATTCCAAAACGATGTAGCACGCATGACGAAGGATTTTTTAAAGGAAACAGTTCTATGAGAAGGAATAAACAAATTTGAGGATTGGGATCTTGTGTTGAACAAATGAACAGAGAAACAAGAAGTAAAGAAATCAAGAAGGTAAGAAGGTTTTTTGATTGTAAAGGTTCGGAAAAGGAAAACACCTAGAAAATATTGCCGTCGGAAAACTGGATAGCACCACTTCAACTCGGCATAGCAACTGGAGACGTGGGAGCGCCAAGTATAAATCAAATGAAATAATTCATTAGCCTCTTCAATCTGATGCCCACCAGACAGCAGTCCACCGTATACAAGGCCGCCATCATCGAAGTGAGGGAAAATGAGAGAGGAAACTAGGAGCAACGAATTTTAAGGGGTATAGAGTCACGAAATCTCAGGAGCTGTTTGAGGGTAGCAATGGACTTTCGGATAATTTGGGAAATGTGATTATTCCAGGTCAGATGTTGATCAAACATTACCACAAGGTTTCTTACGGAAATGTGGAAACGTATGGGTGTCTCATTGAGGTAGAATAGAGTATATAATAAGAAATAAGGTTAATCAGATGCTTGGATCCGATGAGAATGGCTTTAGTCTTCTCAACATTCAATTTTAAGTCAATGTTCGCTACCCAGGTATTAATACTGTCCATATCTTCTTGTAGTCTTCGGAGCATCTTTTTAATCACTTGGGACACCATGACCAGTTTTAACATCAAAAAAGCCACCAATTCATACTTATTTTCACCTGTCTTAATGATGTAAACATATACCCTTTCCTTGTGTGGAGCCATTCTCAATGATCGTTAAGTTAGAGTTTAAGCAAAATCGTTAGAGCCGTTTTCAAGAAAATCGTAAAACTGTGTTACATCGATGATATGAAGTGCCAGTTCCGGTCTGCCGAAAAAGTGGCGGTAACATCCCAGACATATACCTACCTTAATCTATCCTCGTCTACCGCTAAGCAGTGTAAGGCTTCCGTCTGTAGAGCTTGATCAACACTTTTCTTTTCTGTCCCAATTGCTTTTTCTCGACCAATCCAGTCTTCTCCGGTCAAAGACCTCCTTTATTCCACTTTTTAAAGTCTTCTACCTCCCTCCTGCCTCTCATAAGTGAGTATTGCTAATCTGTCTTGTGGTATCCGAGAGACGTGTCCGAACCACCTCAACTGGTACTCTATTTTTTCCTTTGCATCGGACAATGGTATTCGTCAATCGGTCTCTCCTTGCCTTACCTTCGATCCTACAGAAATAACTTATCTCCATCGCTTTAGTTGGCTCTAACGTTTTCTTGTTAGGGTCCAAGACTCGCTTAAATAGTTCAGAATTGGGAGAAATATATTTTTTTTACTGTTACCTTTGTTGTTTTGTGGACTTTTTTTCTTCCCAAAAAGCCTTTTCTAATCGCATTAAAACACTTTCCGAAAACGGCAATTTTTCAGAAAAACAATTTACATGAAGTGATCAATTAATGTTCTACATAATACTAGACAACGTCTTGAAGCAAAATGCATTGATCTACAGGCTCAAAATTTGCTAAGGTGGCCGACAGGAGCTTTTTGAAAACCGAGTATTTTATTAATTTAATACCTCATAACTAAACTGATTGGCTCCTCTTCAATAAAGCCTTTGAAACTGAAATTGATTATGAGTTGTATTTTGAGTCTGTTCTTTTTTATTTCCTGGACTATTATCTAATTCTCTCACCTTCATAATTTTAATTATACAATGGCAACTATTACTTCCATATATAGGAACATTCAACATTCAAAGCAAAGAGAAAATTTGTCCTTGAGCTGTGGATGGATTTATAAAAAGCATTAGCTCTAAAAATGAAAACAGAAAAGAAATTTTGTAATTTTTGAATGAGTTTACTGATTAAAAAGATTAGTTTTCATTAAAACCTTCAACTTAGGTGTTGGAAAAAATTATGACTAATGAATTATGTTTTAGGTGAAATACAGGAAAAAGGAATGGTTTTACCATTTTCACCAGACATTTATAGACCTATTCTATCAAGACTTAGGGCAGAAGGTATCCAAGTGAAGGACATCACATATTAAACTGTTATTTTAATAACTGAATCTTCAAGTGGTAATGGGAACTAAATTTGGATAATAATTAGTATAATTGGGAAAACATAACTTTTCAAGGGATACTAAAAACTGAACTACTTTCTTTTTTAAGATGATTTTTTTTTCATCTAAAATAATACAAAGTAATCTTTTCATACCTGCCTATTAAATTATCAATTATTAAATCCCAAACTTTAGAATTTCAAAAATAAAGTAACATTGCAACTTACAACACCAAATCTAATTAATTAAAAGACAATTAATAACAATCAATTTATTTACAGAATAAAAAGGTATAAACTTAATTAAAACAAAAAATAATCTGAAAAATTATTAAGAGGATAGTTCAAGTGAGAAACATATTTTTTTTCAATCTGAACCTACTAGTTACATTGATTAACAATCAGCAGTTGTGATGTCTAAATAATGAAATGAGAAAAAAAATAGACAAAACAAAAAAAAATTAAAATATGAACAAGCTTTATAAGGAAAATATTCATTTAAATATAGCAATATCATTATAAGATGAGTTGTTTATTTCGAAAGTGAACCAAATCATTATTTATACATTTTCAGAAAACAGGGAAAACTATATGTTTTAATCCAATTGCAATATCATAACCAGTATTTGTTTTAAAATAAATTAAGAAACTGCACATATTCCTGAAAATCATTTATCATTTTAATTGTAATTAAAAAACATGGAAACTTAAATAGGGCTGCTTTTGGAAAGAATAAAATTTTAAGGCCTATTTTGGAACAAAAAGGTTCGAAAAATAAAAATAAATGAGCTACTAATATAATTAAAGCATTTTATAATTTAACATTAATCCTATTTTTATACTTAGTTCCATTTACCACTTGATGATTCAATTATTTATTTTATGGAAATTAAAACTGTAAAAGATAATAAATTTTGTGGAAAATTTATTCTCGAATTCCTCTTCCATACAATATAATGAATAAAAACACTATCCTAACATCAGTAAAAAGAAATAGAAATTTATAATCAAGCAGTAAGGCATAAGGTATATCATAATTCTCAACAGAATTTATGTATTAATTAAAATAAAAATAGCATTAATTCCATTAAACAATAAAGGTTAACCTCATGAGGCGCACCCAGCCGCTAGAAAGTTGGTACTCTTGATTGAATAATTAATTAAAGAGTTAAATCTGGCAGTTATCTTGGCTCAATTACCTCCTGCAGAACCATTCATTGTGCTTGAAACAATATTTCCTAACAAAAAACAAAACCTAAGACCCTCCATGGATTGTAGTAGTACAGTTTTTTTTTAAATTTATTGTGTGACAATATTTCAGCCTTCACAAGGACAAAATAAGATAACTCATGAAAATTATCTTGTTTTTACATAGCATTGATCAAAGCCTAAAACTTGTGCTAAAACATTTACACACAATAAAATGAGGTGTGTTTTATATCATCAATGACTGCACACCAAATAATCCATTCTACACTCAATAATATATCCACCATCATGAGATTATTTCTTAGAAGATTTCAAAAGAAAAATTTTAAGCGTCGTGATCGAATACTACCATAAAATATAGGCCTTACACAAAATAATTTTAGTTTCTGATTTGTCTTTTGTGAAATTTTTACTATAACTTGGTCAAAAAGGATTAATAAATACCTATCTATAAAAGAATTTTTGTTTGCATTTAATTTATTGTATTTTTTACCTCCACTTATTATCATAGTATTTAATGGATAATTATTTGTTTCATTTAAATGACTCTGTCATTGGAAAATCAAGCTATTAAAATAGAAAAATGATAAATAATTATTATCACTGCTAATTCATCAGTAGAAAATAAGAGGCCAGTCTGACATATTTCATTAATGACAAAGTATCTATCATTTGATTAATTGTGAGAATATCTCTCATTACAAATATCTTTCTAATTTATGGTGAGATACAGAAACCAAAATAAGAAAAATATCTCAAACTTTAACTTTAATACAGTAAAATTATCCACAGAAAATTGAAAAAAATTGTATGCTCTTTTGTAACATTCATAAAATAAAAACAAAAATTAGATAAAGGATTAGTGACACTAGTCAAATGATGTTTTAACTGATTTTATCCTTAAATAAATACATATAATATAAAACTTAAAATATATATTTTTCCTCTTGTACATATATACATTTTTGAAATGATTGTAGATAAAACAATTGAAATTTCTAAACACACAAACAAAATTATCTATCTTTGTACAATAATAATTTACACACATTTATATATATTTATATATACAAGAAACAACAAATGCAGTTACATAAATAACAAGTTCTTCAAAGCCTTCATCAAATTTAGCAACTGAAACAGTAGATATATAAAAATTAATTGCATAAAAGTTTAAGTTTTAAAAAATAAATTTAAAAAAATGATAAGGTCCAAAGATGATTGATTCTCTAAAAGGTCCTGTCAAAGTAAAAATTTCCAAATTCTTTTTAGAGTTCTGATAGTCCCCTAATAGATCTATAATTCTCAAATATTTAAAAAAATATTTCTGTTGTTTAAACCAACAAAAATTCCAAGTAAAGTTACAAAAAACAAGAACCACGGTTTGTGCAACTTATGGGTCTTACAACTCTTTTAATAATAATTTTACAGCTGAAGATCATTACGATAATTGTTAAAACTCCTTGGGAGGAAATCAAAACTTTCAATAAAAGGAGGATTAATTTCTCAAAAATGATCCCCCAAGTGTATAATAATCATCTGATAAAATCATCAGAAATGGTTGAGTTTATCCTATAAAACAAAAATTTACAAAGTTTTGACAGCCCCCCAAGGAGTTTAAACAATTATCCTAATGAACTTTAGCTCTAAAATTATTATTAAAAGAGTTATAAGACTTGTAAGTTTCAAAAAACATGATTGTAGTTTTTCATAACTTTGTGTGGTATAAACAATAGAACTACATTTTTAGAAGTTTAGGCAAGTCTTTCATAGTCTTCACAGTCCCCAGTTTAGCAATAATAAAATCTACTAATTATTTTATAAATTTTAAGAATAATTCATGTGCCAAATTTTAAATATTACTAAATCTACATAAAAAATCCAACATATAGAAAACATGAAATGAAAAAAGCTTACATATATTGTATATATATATATATATATATTATATATATATATATATATATACAGGGCGTTTCTTAATTGCACAGCACTATTTTAGGTATGTGTTCACTAATACAAAATAATCAAAAAAGTTCATATTAACATATATCTCAAACTCATTTATTAAACAAATATCAAAGGTCAAAGATTTATTATTTATTATTACTATTTATTTATTATTATTAAAACATTTAGAGTAACTGTTCAAAGGGGCCTCCGTTTTGTTGAAAGCAACATCAGCACGACAAATCCATGCTTCTCTGTCTCTTCGTATAGCATCAGGATGGTGCTTGATAGTTACTGCGGCTTGTGGGCACAGCACCGCTGGCAACTTGATCTATGAAACAATGGATTTAAAATAGTCACGACTTCGCCTCCCGGTGTCGGGAAAGTCTTTTAAATCCCCGCCCACACTTATAGCCTTAAAGGCGAGGGAGGAGAGGACCACCCCAAAAAAAAAAAGTTACTGAGCCGATCCAATTCATGCCAGTAACATTTGGAATCAACGAAATAATACAGTATCAAGTTACTGAGCCGAGCCGATTTGTAATTCATGCCAGTAACATTTGGAATCAACGAAATAATACAGTATCAATTAATTTTTTGAATGAAACCTAAAATTTTATAACCCCATAACAATATTTTAATACCTAACTCCCACACCATATGATCAGTGCCTTCAACATTTCACAGCCATCATATTGTTACCAATTATTTATTTTGAGCACAAAATTTTTTTTAACCTCTCGCACGAATACAATGCTTCCCTACCTTTGTTACTCGTAGTACTATTAGTTATTAAACTGTTATTTTACATTGTAAAGTTTACTTAAATGAAATTACGAGATTTTCATTGCCTGCTATGGATAAGTCAAAAGTTGTCACACTAATTGCAAGTGGATAATGTAGGGATTTCACAAAGGGAAAATTCATCAAATTATTCACTAATTTAATTTTCTAAAAAGCTACTGACAATTTTTCGGAATAAATAATAAATGGCCTATAGATACCCAATTATTTAAATATAATATCAGATCTAGAGTTATTAAACTACAGTAAATGTATTTAAGGTTATAAACATATACATGATATGTTTCCATCCATGAAATATTTCTATATTTCACTTCTTTTTTCACACATGTAATAGTACAATGAAATAGCATTTTAAACAATGTCATTGCCTTGATTCAGTGGATTCTAAATACTTTTTTCAAACTTAAAAAAAAAATTTAAAGTTTACATTTAGTAAGAAAATTTAATTTAATTTCCTTGGAGACATGTGATTCATGTTAAATAATGTTACATTTTCAGAAATTATTATTTATATTTTTTTTTTGCCACTCTGTTAATTTCTACAACTATTTATTTGATTTTTTTTTCTCTCTAAAATTCTCCTCTTTCCAACAATATATTATATGTATACCTTCTGACTATTATTTCTGGAGATTCATTTTCGACCTGAATAAGCATTTTTCTCCATTATTCAATTATCAAATTCTTTCAAAAGTTATATTTAGCATTTTTTTAGTTAATCCTAACAATGAGAGATAGTTAATTATTCAAAATAAACCAAATTAAAAATACTTTAGAGGAAGAAATGTTGACAAATGTTTAAGTCATGTAAAGTGACATTAATTGGGATAAGACCTAAATGATTTTAAAGACCACTTAATTATAAAATGATACACCAAGTTTAATCAAAACTGTTAGAGCCTTTTTTGAGAAAATTGTACAAATGTGTATTACCATTGATATAAAGTGGCATCCCCGTTTAGCCGATTTTAAGGAAAAAGTTACTGTAACATCTCACCCATATACCTAATCTTAAAAACGTTTTGTTCGACTTCTCGTTTTTGAGCTAGACTGTTTAAATACAGAAACACAGACTATTTGTGGTTACTTGGACTCAGGGGAACTCAAAACATCTATTTCCATGAAAACTCAGATTCGAAAATTTTCACAATCGCAATACTTTCCCTGAATAGTAACAGGTAAGTGAAAGTAAAAATTATGGAAAAAGCACCAGAAAACAAAAATAATTTAATACTTACAACTATTAACTAGCACTATTGTCCGAATCTTGGGGATCATGAAATTCAAAATCAATACTTGGCAGGTGAATGTCCATTTCAAAGTCTTCATCATCAAAATCATCATCATCATCATCATCATCGTCGTCGTCGTCATCATCATCATCATCCTCTCCATTGCTGTTTCCCTGACCACCCTCATCAGAATGAGCTGAATGATCCATAGAATCTTCTAAATAATCCAATGGTAAAGAATCTGAAAAGAAATAATAAAATACGGTAATTTGCACATAAATGACTTTAAATATTAATTAATACCAGTAATTTACTCCTTATCTTAAGGCAATAAAAAGTAAATCAAATCCGTTTTGGGATTTCCTTGAAAACAAGGTGCATATAATACCTCATATTACACCACGGGATAAATATTTAAAAAAGTACGAGTTCGTGTCCAGGTGCCAGAAGGGATTTTAAATTCCCCGACCTGTATAGCCCGGGAAAATCCTGTATAGCCTATAAGGCAAGATAGAGAAGAATAAAAAAACCAAATAAAAAAAATAATAAAATAAAATAAACACAGAGAGGTTTTGCAATGATCATAATTAACTATAGCAACCAGACATCTCAAAGGAATATATATGTACTACCAGAGAAGGTATAGCTGATATTACTAGGCTGTGACTGGATGGAGTAGAGCACTCAATGATAATAACATAATTTGTAGATGAAAAGGAGAACAAAATCTTAGTTGACAAAGAAACAGAGAACAAAAATGTATTTTTCTATAGTGCATGGTGAAGATTTAGATGAAACTACTAGTGTTAGAGAACACAATCAGCTCAGGGAAGGAACATAACTGATTTTTAAACTACGAAGAGTTTAACTATATACACTCAGAAACAAGTTTAAAAAAAGGAAATAGATTGCCTGGAAGTGATTAGGAGTGATTACAAAAACTAACTATTGTAAATAGGGAATGCCTGTAATGCCAATCGTAAACAGCTTCATACAGAATTTCACTTCTACATTTCCCATGATAGAAAAAAAAACTGCTGGAAAGGAAGAAGAAAGATCTTCATTACACTGTACTTGAAGAAAGCCTATTTGAACATTGTTATGTATTCAGCTAAGATAGTTCAATGTACATAGGTGATCCAGTGATAGTAAAAAGAAAGACAGCAGGATTGATGTGTGTCATCGAGATTGATCAGCTGTTATAAGCCCTTTGCTCCATTTTATCTGTAATGCTGTTTAAGACTCAAAGTTCATATTTTTGATGTTTCATTGCACTAAAATTTTATATAATTTATTGTGATATATTTTAATAGATCCTTTTTTTATTTTAATTAAAAATTGACAAAAAAAAAGGAAAATATCCACATCAGATGTTAGGGTCAATCCCTAATTTTACTGTACTATGTACCATCCATATTCAGGGCAAGAATTGCTTTCACAACAGAAAAATGGAAAGAGTCTGATAACCAATTGGAATGAGTTTGGGATGATGGGGACAGAACATCCATAATGTATATTTTGTTGCCGTTATTTTCACATTTGTTCCATTATTCACTATCAATGAGTCCTTAATAAAATTTATAAAGAACTCTAAAACTATTATCATTATATGACATTTTAAAAAGAGAAGATAACATAACAGTTTAAGACATACAGGCTTACACTTAATTCTGGAGATAAGGAAAATGAAATCTATCATCATAATGATTACTAAATGAACTGCTTAAAATACCTCATTTGTAAATTTAAGAAAATAAACGATTTCTAAAAGGAAAGAATATCGAGGTATGAAAGAAAGATCTTTATACAGAGATGTAATTCAATCAAACAATTAATTTCAGAATAAACAAAATGTAATAAACAAATCAAAATTAAAGAAGAAAAAATTACCATTCGGTGGATCATCATCACTTCCTGAACCATCACTTGCATCAATATCATCGTCATCCTCATCATCTTCCTCCTAAAATATAAACAAATTATTTTAAAATTACCAGCATTAACAATAGTATACTGACCAACAAAAATATTTTTTATAAAGGTTTCCTAACCTAAAGAATATTAATTCCTACTAATTTCATGTTAAGAAAAACGATTAGAAAATAAAATGTTTTATCACCTTCTGTTTCAAGGTACTTAATACTTAATATTCCTAATGTTAGTGAAAAAAGTGTAAAAGTTGAACTTTTTATGGAAGAGTATAAAAACTGACAATTTCTTTATGATTTATTAGAGTAATTTCATAGTTTATGTCCCTCAGCTATTTTCCATAGCAGCAGACTACTTATCGCACTTGCAGACTACAAAAGGACACCTTTAGCACAAATAGAATAAACATAGAAAATTGTTGCATACAGCCTGCTGACAGCCGACACTAGCCAGAGACTTTGGTAAGTAGTGGAAGCACCCAATGATGGCCAGCTCCCTAGGGTGAAGAAGCGAAGGTGTAGGCAAGGGTTGTTAGGTGGCTCCCCGTGGCGCAGGCGGGAAACGCCTCTTTGGTAGGCCTGGTAGACCGATGAGGTAGGCTAGAGCTTGACAACTCGCTACGAGCTGGTAAGGAGGCTCAGAGGAGACAGCCCCTCCACCGGATTCGGGGGCAATGGGCTAATAACCCACTCCTCTTAAATACTCATTATTACAAAACCTCTACAAGCAGAAATAGCCGGATTGTCATTACAGAATAAAACCAGGAAACGTTTGATGGACTTAAGAATCACCTACTGGAACATTTTATCTTTATATAGACTCGGAGCCCTGCGGGCACTCCTCGAACAAATTGACAAATATCGCATTGACATCACAGCGATCCAAGAAGTCCCACCCTTGAAAAGAGGTACCATGCCGTATATTATAGCTGTCACGAAACCAACCATATATATGGAACCGGATTCATCGTAAAGAAAATGTGGAGATCCGACGCAGAGGAGAAACCTTAGAGAAGACTGAGGAATACCTGCCTAGGTACAGTCATCAACAGGAATGGAAAGATTGATGGGGAGGTTTCCCACCGGATTAAAAAGGCAAATAATGGCTACTACCAACTATGCTTGCTACCACGATAGCTTTGTTTTCTTTGTCATCTCTCTTCTGTTGATGAAACCATTTCGGATTTAGTGGAACATTCTTCCAGCTGCTCCCAGTCTTTACGACACCTCTCCATCAATATTGCCACTTTCATTGATCCAGGCACCAGGATATTTGAAATTCTACAAGTGTTCAAAGATCTGTCCTTTCAGCCTCAATAATCCCATCACTCGGTGAGGTCATCTTCCTATTCTCATGCATTTTGTTTTTTTTGGGTATCACAATTCAATGTACAAAATCATTACCAATATCAATATGGTCTGTATTAGTGAATAGAAGATGAATTCCAATCTTCTTCTTCTTCCTCCTTATGCCTTTCAGCGTAGAGGTGCTTTAGTCCATGGCAGCCATGCATCCCGGTCTCTGGTCAGCGCCTTCATGGCATTCAGCTGGCGCGTCTCTTTGCTGTCCCAGCTTGGAGATGCGGAAGTTACGGACCGTCCACGTTAGCCTAGGTCTACCCCAGGGACATCTTCCAGTTGGCCTAGCTTCGAAGTACTTCCTTGGATCCCGATCTTCCTCCATTCAGCAAAGGTGCCCAAACCATTTTAGCTGCCTCCTGGGAACCACTTATTTTACAACTGAAACTCCCAGCTTCTCTCGTACTCGCTCATTTCTAACCAGATCTCTTCTGGTTCGGCCAGCCACTCTTCTCAGGTATCTCATTTCTGCGGCTGTACTCGGCTGTAGTGCTTGTCTAGTGGGATCCAGTTTTCACTTCCATGGAGAAGAGTAGGTAGGTATACAGCCTTGCAAATGTGCAGCTTCACATTTTTTTTTTTTCCACTTCCCTCTTTCCAGGAATCGTGTTGCATAGTTGGTAGTAGCCATTATTTGCCTTTTTAATCCGGTTGGAAAGCTCCCCATCAATCTTTCCATTCCTGATGACTGTACCTAGGTAGGTACATTCCTCAGTCTTCTAAGGTTTCTCCTCTGGATCGGATCTCCACATTTTCTTCATTTCATCCTATACACATTACCTTGCTCTTACTTGCATTCAGCATCATTCCCTTTCTATCCAGCTCAGCTTCCCACTCTATGATTGCTTTCTGCAGGTTTTCTTTTGAATCTGTTATGAGCAAGGATTTCCTCATATTCGACTTTTTAACAACTGTCCGTGCTGTCCTACTCATGCATATTTTTAGGATTTCATCCATGAATATGATGAACAGTAGAGGGTTAAGGCTGTCTCCTTGTTTTAATCCTTTTTTCATTTCAAAAGGTTCGGATTTATTTCGATTTATTCTTATTACACCGTTTGAATTCCAAATCAAAGAACAGTTTCTGCAGTTTTTTTACAAAGTAGAGGCCTAACAAATATTCATTAAAAATCTAAACATCTAAGGAATTTCCCTCCCAAGTACTTACAAGCTTTTCCTTCCTGGTCCATTGCTTTAATGGAATTCTTTATCAATCCCAACCTGATGTCTAAGGGAAAGAGAATAATAATCTTAAGATTGACTTAGCACTCAGTTTGGAAAATTTTTTATCTCAGCTTAGGATATTTACCATTTAAGGTAATATGAAACTAAGATGGCAACGCGTGTAAAAGTATTGCACTACTTCCCTATAATCTCTAAAATGGAAGCCACTACTATGAAGTGAACCATGATAGTTGTTAGCTTGGATCATTATCATAATCATAAATAAATAAACAAAATTATGAATTCAATAGTCACTAGATAGTTGTATATTAAAAGCAAGAGGTAATTACATTGTTCCACATTCAAGAGGGAAAAATTCATAAATATTAGCTATTTATGAGAAGTTAATATTTTTTTTTGTTGGTCAGTGTTATTATAATAATTTATAGGTGATATAATGTTAAGATTAAAGTTGGATACTTCAAGAGCAAGATAAACTAAGGACATTGTAATTATAAAAATATAAATAGTAACATATTTTAACCAATAGTATAAAAGAAATCTTCACATTGAATTAATAGATAGAAGAAGAGGATAATTATGATATAAATATGGGGTTGACAAATAAGTCCTTTCGGTTTTTCAGGGTGAAATAAAACTCAATGTATTATAGACATTAAATTAATTTTAATTATATATTAAGTCAATAATATATTGACTATTATTTAATATGACTTTTTCCCATATTTTCACTAACTACATAATGCCATGTTCATAGAATGTCTGGAGTTTATTGTTAAAAAACTGATCCAAGTGGTTTTTTATGTCCTCTTCCTTTTGGAATTTCTTTCCATTCATGGAGTTCTGCAGACACCAGAGTAAGCGGTAGTCACTTGGAGTTAGGTCTGGTGAATATGGAGGGTGGGGCAAAAGGTCCCATTCGAAGCTCAATAATTTATTGCTTCAATAATTTATTTATTATTAAGTGATCAATGAGGTGTGGAGCTTAGCGTTTTCTTGGTGGAATACAACACCCTTCCGATTTGCCAGTTCTGGGCGTTTATTTTTAATTATTTTTTTTTGGCTTATTGCACCACGACCCTAATAGATCTATTGTGCGCCATTATGAGGTCTATTTTGTTCTTAAAACGTTAGTTTCATTGTTTCCGCATATCTTAATAGGCTTGTCAGATTAAAAGACTCATAGCTACTGGGGTGATAAATTCATTTCTCCTCAAATAGCTCCAGTCTAAGCCTTGCAAATCTATCACATCGAGAAATGAGGTGAAAGGCTGTTTCATTCTCCTTCTGACAGAACCTGTATAAACGGGTTCGTAGTCACTTGGAGATTGAACATGTGATAATTTAACTTACAGCGACCAGTGTAGATAGCTTTAAGCTTTGTTAGAGCTGCTCTGTCCAGACTCAGTAGCAGCTTACGCCTTTTATCACATGGACCTTTAAGGAACAGCATCGAATTTCATTGTTTCTTCTCAGTCCAGTGTTGTTTAAATTTTTCATTATATATCTCCCTAATTCTTTTTCTTGCTCTACTAAGACTGATTCCACAAACAGGTTCAGGAGATATGGGCATCGTGTCTGAATCTAACCTGGCTAGTTTGTCTGCCTCTTCATTGCCTAGAATGCTGAATGACCAGGCACCTAATCTATTTAATTTATTGATCCAATTTTTTTAATTGTGAGCAGTATAGAGTTGAATCAATTGTTTGCCCTGATGGAAATAGCTCATGGTAAATAACAACCTTGAAATCCCACCATATGGAAAGAATTATCTTCTTTGGATGCAATCCAGGTTTTGACATACTTCTAGGAGCCTCACTACTAAGTCGCCAAGACTTTCTACGGACTACATTATCGTAAAATATCCATGTTTCATATCCTGTTACCAACCTTTTCAAAACTGGGTCATTTTGTTGCCGTTTCTGTAGTGAATCACAAACAGATATGCGTACTACAAATTGCCTTTGGTTAGAGAGTGAGGGACCCAAACATTAAGCCTGGAAACATAAACATAAACCGATCTTGTGCAAATAGTTTTTTACGATTGTGTGTGACACATTAAGGGCCATAGTAATCTCTCGCATTGATTGGATGGGATTTTGATCAACTATGGCCTTAACATTGCTTGTTTCAATTTCATGTGGGCGACTAGACTGTTAAGCATCATTGATGTCAAAATTTTCTGAATGAAATTTGGCAACCTAATTTTGACATGTGCTTCGTTCAGTTAAGGCATCATCCCCATAAACACTGCAAATTTTTCTATGAGCTGCTGCAGATTATTTTTTAAAAGAATACAACAAAATATACCAATAATAAATGATATTTTCTTCCATTTTCACAGTGCAATAGCAAACACAAAACTAAACTAGTTTCAACAAGAGTTAAGAGATATAGTTGTTGACATTTTACAAACAGAATAAACAATCCACCTCAGGGATTAATTCATCAGATAAGAAATGAAATGAAAATATATTTTATTATTCTGGAACTGTTGTCCCTTTAGAACAAATTATAAGTACAGATTGCAGTCTGTGTGATCATAATTAATTATTTATTTACAATAAGAGTTAATTAACAAAAAAATTGTACATATGTATAAGACAGACATAGGAAACTAAAATAACCTAAATAAATTGAAGTAGGGGGGAGGTACTTACATAGTTCTCTTAGATATATTTTGTAATCAGTCAGATTGGTGTTTAAAAAGGAGAGGTTTGAAAGAGGAAACTCATCAGCAATATCAGCAGGGATGGAATTCCAGAGGGAGGCCGCTTGAATTGCAAAGGATTTGTCAAACGCAGCAGTTCGGTAAGGAGGAGGATAGAGGTTGGAAGTACGAGATCTAGTGGGATGGTATTGGACAGAGTACTTAAATTGTAAGCTGGGAAAGATACAGGAGGGTCGATGAGTTCTAATGATCTGGTATAGAAAGGTGGCTAGGAAGCATTGATGGCAATAAGATGAATAGAGCCACTTTAACTTGGTGTAATACTGAGTAATACACGTATCTCTTGAGATTCCGAAAACAAAACATAATGCACAATTCATTACGCGTTTAAGTTAAGCCTCGAAATCTCCTGAGAGTCCATTGTACAACATACAGCCATAGTCAAAGTGTGAGAAAACAAAAGAGGAAACTAGGAGTTGACGGGACTTACATAGAAGGAGATAACGTAGAAAATTGAACTGTTTTAGGGTGGAGATACTGTGATGGGCAATTTGGGAGATGTTTGGTTTCCAGGAGAGGGTTTGATTTAAAGTAACACCTAGGTTTTTAACGGTAGTATGGAATAAGATCATTTATATAGATGGAAAAAAGGGTGGGAGATAAGGAAGAGCCTTGTGGAACTCCTCTGGACAGAGGTGTAGAGATTCTGTAGAGTCTCTAGAAGTAGAAAAGAAACAAGTGTATCATAGTGACATAAAAATTAACAGAAAAACCGAAAGGACTAGTTTGCCAAGCCAATATATAACAATAAATGATAAAACAGGCCATTAACCATTACTATAGAAAATAAGTAGATTGTAGCATAATTACTATAATAATTCATCATTACAAGAATTCCAAAAGAACAACTAATCAATTATTTTGGTTAATATAACATCATAAAAAAAGACATTCCAATGTCAATAAACCTACAATATACATGTCATTGTTGTAAATAATGGACTGCTTAACAGGTAAATAAAATTGTTTTTATAACATTATAGAGTGCTGCCATTGGGTAGTTTCTCAATAAGTGTGTTCATGTTATTATTTTCTGTTATCACATTTACGGAAGTATTTTTTCTTATTACAGATGTAAATATCATAAATAAATAATAAAAAAATTAATAACATTAAGATTATATGTATAGTCATAAACATAAGGAATACATACAGGTTCATCATCAGTGGTTCTTGAGCGGCCTATGTCATAAATTTTCACTATAGATTCTTGAACACTGTCAAACATACCCTGATTTTCAACCAATGCTATTTGTGTATCTCTCATATTGCAAGCTAAATCATAAATGCTTTTCTTGACATCAATAGTGGCTACAAAAACATCAATAAAAAGTTTAAACAACTAAAAATTAACCATAACACTAACTAGAAAGAAACAAACTTTTAAAGATCAAGTGCTTCCTTTCATTCTATTTTCAAGCAGAAAACTACAAGACAGACCACATTCTTATTCCTCAAATATTTAAGAGTGGGTTCACAAATACTTGTCATCAGATAACACGAAATATGAAACTGTTTCATCTAGATTATGTGTTCTATCACATTCTGCAACAACTCATTTAAGCATTTCCATGTTTTGTGAAAACATACAAGCCAAAAGAGGCTCATGTTTCCAATACACTTATTACAGTTGTTACTGCATATATAACTTTAAATGGTGAACTTTACCTTCCAAATAAAATTTTAATTGGTTGCCCATGATTTATTTATTGCAATTATTGGGTTGTCTGGATAATAATGCAGGATTTTGGCTTAAAAAGAAAAAAAGAAAGATGACAACTGTTTTATTTAATCAAAATAATCTCCACTACTAGCAATACATTCCTGCCAACATGTTGGCAACTTTTCCATTCCCTTGGAATAGAATTTCCCAAAGAGAAATACTTTATTGAAAGTAATGCTGCCCTACTACATAGGGTTGCTTTACACACAGCATACTGATGAATCCATTTGGACATAATTCTTATATTACATAATTCCACTACTACATGTATACATATATATATTTTTTTAAATAAAAAAAAAAATATATATATATATACATAGAGGCTGGGGTAGTTGTGCTTGCTAAGGCGCTTGCAATAGGTAACCAAGTTAAACAATGCCAAGCGTGGTTAGCACTTGGATGGGTGACCGTCCGATTTGGGTGACCGTCCACCAGAGAAAGCCATGCTGCCCGAGTCTCCCCCCCTCCAGGTTTGTGAGACCCATCAGCCTGCTGGAGGCAACTCACACTGACTGAGCGTAAGACTGATGACACCCATATACTTAAATCAGGAATCGAGATGAAAGATCTACAAGGTCTGTAGCGCCAACGGAAAAAAAAAAAAAAAAAAATATATATATATATATATATATATATATATATATATATATATATAGTGTGTGTGCGATTTAGTGTTAAATTTTTACTTTAGTATGTATGTTATGCAATATTGATGCCTCAGTGTAGTGTATTATTAATTTCTTTTCCTCCCTTTTCATCATACTAGTTCTACAAAGTATCGCTAATACACTACACTGAGCCATCAATATTGCATAACATACATACTAAAGTAAAAATTTAACACTAAATCACACACATATATGCTTTGCTAACAATTTAAAATTAAATAAATAAATGATAAAAGACAACCTCAATTCACGGTAAATTACTATACATGTGATAGTGAATGATTCCCAGAGAGTCAAGGATTCAAAATTCTCGGCCAAAATCACAAGCTCCTCAACATCAACACCTAGTTCCTCGAGGAAAAATTTCTTGCTCTTTTTGATATGGTTCCGCGAGACCCAAACCAGAGGTCTCTCACAGTGAACTGATAATTGAATGCATAATACTCCAAAAACGCATTTTCTAATTCCCTTTGTACATTTAATTTTTTGTCACCCAAGTAGTGGTCCAGGTGTATAAGAAAATAATAATCAGTAGGCGACAGTAGGGTGGATGTTGCAGAGTTTCATATCCAAGCTCCAACAGTTTTTGTGACGTCACACATGAGAAATGTGGCCGCGCCTTGTCATGCAACAAAATTATTGCCAATTTCTGATGCAATGCATTACAGTATTTAAAGGAAGGAGATGGTCCGGGGTTGCGGTCATAAAAAGGCTAAATAGTGGTAAAACTATTTTATTGAAAGCCAACGTTTCGACCCGACTTTGCAGGTCTTCATCAGGGCTAGAACGGACAAGATACAAAAAGATAGAGAATTGTGGCAATTATATAATAGTTAGACATAATTTATAAACAATGTGAATAAGCTTATTAGAATTATAAACAATAAGTACAATAAAATATGGACTAAGTAAGCTGAGTAACAAGATCTTAAAATAAAGTAAATAGATGCTAACAATTGTTGTAGTGTAATATATAACAAGTGAAAATGTGAGTATAATTCTACAAAATCTACAGGAGAAAAAAAATAAAATTAGAGACTTACAGGTGTGTTCCTCTAGGAGTTTCACTTAGAACTGGAAAGGCAGTGGTAAGGATTGCAGGTATAGGGGGAGTTAACATGTGTTAACTAAGTAAACATTGAAAAACCCAGGAATGTACAGTACCTAGGAATTTTTGAAGATATGGATGGATACAATGGAAAAATACTATATCTATGAAATATTAAATTATAAATATACATATGAAATAGAGTTGAGAGATGTGAGAGGTATTTCATGATTCTAGATCAGAGTACAATGTGAATAAACCCAAAATTGGTAAAAAGTAAAATGTAAATATAGAAATAATTTCATTAACATACATACATTGCAGAGCTAACTTAAAAGTATAGAGAGTGAAAAAAAAAAAAAAAAAAATAGGGTGGTCATACATTGGTGTAGAGTGTAAATGTAAATTTAGAATCAAATAGAAGAGAGATCATACAAAGAAGGAATATTTAGAATAATGAACAATTAAATGAATTAATTAATAAAAATTGAGAGTAGATGAAAATAATAGAATAGAATATTTAAGTTATTTTTCCCTTATAAGACTTAAAATGTGTCTATATGTAAGAGAAATACAGTTTTTGTCTACTTCGTGATTAACGGGATTGTGTTCCATGTGAATGTGGATAGATTCGGAAATGAGTCTTTTTTCATGGTTAGGGACCATGGAAAGGATAGAGATTTTTTCAAAATCAAATGAGTGGTTGTGTGTTAAAGCATGTTCTGATAGTTTGGAGGCGGTTCCTAACCTTTCCACGGTCCCTAACCATGAAAAAAGACTCATTTCCGAATCTATCCACATTCACATGGAACACAATCCCGTTAATTACGAAGTAGACAAAAACTGTATTTCTCTTACATATAGACACATTTTAAGTCTTATAAGGGAAAAATAACTTAAATATTCTATTCTATTATTTTCATCTACTCTCAATTTTTATTAATTAATTCATTTAATTGTTCATTATTCTAAATATTCCTTCTTTGTATGATCTCTCTTCTATTTGATTCTAAATTTACATTTACACTCTACACCAATGTATGACCACCCTATTTTTTTTTTTTTTTTTTCACTCTCTATACTTTTAAGTTAGCTCTGCAATGTATGTATGTTAATGAAATTATTTCTATATTTACATTTTACTTTTTACCAATTTTGGGTTTATTCACATTGTACTCTGATCTAGAATCATGAAATACCTCTCACATCTCTCAACTCTATTTCATATGTATATTTATAATTTAATATTTCATAGATATAGTATTTTTCCATTGTATCCATCCATATCTTCAAAAATTCCTAGGTACTGTACATTCCTGGGTTTTTCAATGTTTACTTAGTTAACACATGTTAACTCCCCCTATACCTGCAATCCTTACCGCTGCCTTTCCAGTTCTAAGTGAAACTCCTAGAGGAACACACCTGTAAATCTCTAATTTTATTTTTTTTTCTCCTGTAGATTTTGTAGAATTATACTCACATTTTCACTTGTTATATATTACACTACAACAATTGTTAGCATCTATTTACTTTATTTTAAGATCTTGTTACTCAGCTTACTTAGTCCATATTTTATTGTACTTACTGTTTATAATTCTAATAAGCTTATTCACATTGTTTATAAATTATGTCTAACTATTATATAATTGCCACAATTCTCTATCTTTTTGTATCTTGTCCGTTCTAGCCCTGATGAAGACCTGCAAAGTCGGGTCGAAACGTTGGCTTTCAATAAAATAGTTTTACCACTATTTAGCCTTTTTATGACCGCAACCCCGGACCATCTCCTTCCTTTATAATGCAACGGTCAACTATTAAATATTCAACATTACAGTATTTGCTTTCATTACGCTTCTACATTGATGGTTTCTCCAGGATTTAAGAAGCTGTAATGTATCAAACCAAATGAAGCTCATCAAACAGTAACCATCACCTTTTTTTGATGAGTTGTGGCTTTGGAAAATGTTCTGCTGCTTCTTTGTCAAGCCACTGTCCAGAATGTCAACTGTTAACGTTAGGTATCTACTTTTAACCACAAGTAACAATGCTGGACAGAAAATGATCATTTTGTTTTGGCAAAGAAGTGTAGCACAAACTTCATAACGCTTTTTTTTTAGCGGTCGTTTAATGTGTGTGGAACCCAACTTTCAATCATCTGGGCCCCATTAGGACGAAGTTTAAACTCGTAAAACAAAATTATACGAAAATCACGCATTGACATCTTAGTAAAGACTGAATTATTTCTAAGCAGAGAAATGCTGCACAGGTAAAAAAACATTATCATTTGGAAGAGGATTAATAAGTGCAGACATTCATACAAATGAATAATTAAGTAAACATAAACAGTTTTGTAATGAACTTTGTAACTATTTTCTTTACAACCTTTTTAATATTCAACCAGATGTTTATACTTCTTAACGAAATGTTTCAATCAAACCATTATCTTTCATGTTAAATTATATGATAAATAAAGCCTTGAATTGTGTTAAGGTTTATTCGGTATGAGTAAAACATACTACAAGTTTGTTATATACAGGAGTATTTTAAAGAAAACTCAAAATCCTGCTTTATTTTCCAGACAACTCAACCAATATTTTGTAATGTTTTTTCTACGTACCAATACTGGAGTAGTCATATGCATCAAGAGTTTTAAAAGAATTTTCATATTGGGAATCATCTTCAATTTCCCTTTCTACAGTGACTGAATAAATTGTATAGCCAGGAGGGGAGAAAATCACTTCTGATTGGTCCAATGCAGGAACAGTCCTTAGCAGATGAAATGTCCTTAAATCCCAAACCTCAGTATTTGATACTATCTGCAGCACATATGAATGAAAACATAGCATTAATTTAGGCATAAAAATAGTATTTTTTTTAATTGGTTACAGGGAATAGGAAAATAAATAGATTTCTTAATTATGCCAAAATAAAGTTAGCAATAGGAAGCATTAACTAATTAAACTAACTTGATACCAAAGAAATTCATAATTCCCTAAGGGTTCATGTAAATAATAACAACTATTGAACAGTGTGCATTTAATTAAAGAATTGAATTTATCAAGTTCAAGCCAAAGCTCATACCTCAAGGCCACTGGGATGGAATACACCACTCAAAGTTTGGTTCAGTTTGTCAAACTTATGTATTTCTTTTCCTGACATTACATCCCAAAGGACACCATCAGATAATACCAACTCACAAGTTGGAGAGAATGTTGCTTTATTCTTTGTATACTGGTTTGATAATGAAGGTGTTAATGTACTTATTAATTTACCGGTATTGACATCATAAATCTGAAAAAGGAAATTAGTTAGAAGTGACAACAAAATATAGAGAATGGTAAATTTATTGTAAAGCATTTGACAGTAATTTTAACACTCCAAGGGTCACTAGCCTTTGAGTCACACGGAAGGTCGCTATGGATCTGTGAGATCCACTTCACTAAATCAATTTATTGATCAAATTTCTCATTGTACTAAAAGAAAAAGATATAATATGAGTTTTTGAATACATTTATTGGGTAAAACAGTAACATAATTTTAAAAAAATTAAAAATCAAAACGAACAATTTGTTGACCAAATTATAGGAGCTTGAACACCAAATTCTGTATATTATTAAATACCAACACAAAAATCACTGAATACTAGAAACAATTGTAATAGGATTAAATTGGATGCAAACGTCATCACAACATGAACATCAGGCTCTAAAAGCCTTTAATTTCTCATCGATAGTCACATCTGCTCCAACTGAATAACAAGATTGGCAGTATATGACAAACTTCAAATAAGTCCTGGACAGGTGCCAGCCGGTCTAGGTCTATTTCTTTATGTTGATGACGTTTTTCTTGGTCATAAAATCTTAGGAATCAAAGTAAAAATCGAAATCTTTGTTCACTCACAGTGGGGCGAAATATTTTGATTTCAAACTTGGAATCAATAATTACGCCACTTGAATCCCACAAATCATCCAGATTTTTTTTCTCGGCTTAATGCATTCCTGCAATATATATCAGGCCGCAGGCTAATAAATAATAAAGGCTTTGATTTTAATTATATTAGTTGCCATTGTATCCCTTTCCTGTGAAAAACTTCCACATTCACCGTCAATCCTCAAGTTTTGGCACAAAAATTGAATACAACACAGGTCATCTCACTACAAGTACCAGGAGAATACGTGAAGGGGGGATCCTCCTCTCCCAAGGGGTATAAAAATACATCACATAGACCGCTCAACAGATCTCTCAGATCTGATGCGACCTTCGGAGTGTTAATAAACTTGGAACCCATCCTTTTCTGATAGACAGTAATGAATAGGATTTTGACAGTAACAGAAAAACCTAACAATATATTTAACTTTACAGCCATTTGATGTGTATGAAGTAATGAAGAGTTTTATGTTTCTTCTAGGGTTAATTAATATAAAATATATTAATCAGGAGTGTAATACTTTATTACACTTTTTTAGAAACAATATTAAACCTCAGGCGTGTTAAACCATGCATGCATTAAGCATAATAATTAATAATTAATAACACCAATTAATCCACAACCCCCTTCCTCCTGAGGATAGAAGCAACAACATACTTTACCGACGTAGAGACATGAAAGGAAGAACATGGAAATTTTACATGCACCAGAAATTAAATTGTTTGTATATACATCCCCTGTGATACCACTCCTCTCCTCCTAAAAATTATAAGTTCATATTGTAAATTACAGTACGAGGGTGGTCTGAAAAGTTTCGTAACTTTTCGTTATGTTAAGTTCGTTACGAACAAAAAAAGTCACTTGAGGCTAGATCTGGTAAGTGAGGCGGATGGTCAAGAAGTTCAAACCAAAATTCGTCGATTTTCAAAATTCGCCACGTAAGACGGTTGTCTTGGTGAAACAAGATTTTCTTTTTCTGCAAATGTTTGCAAAAAAATTATATTTTTTCCACAAGTTCTGCCTTCAGCTTGTCAAGTAATGATGCGTAGTATTGGTTTTTTTTTTTTGAAGATAAGTCGATTATAATAACTCCATGGCTATCCCAAAAAACAGTCGCTATCACTTTCCCAGCTGAGAAAACAGTTTTTGCTATTTTTGGAGCCAGTTCCCCCTTTGCAGTCCACTGTTTGGACTGTATTTTTGTTTCGGGCGTATAATTAATGGTGTATCCAAGTTTCATCTACAGTAATTAATCGGCACCAAAACTCCAATTTATTGTGCCTAAACTGCGCCAACAGAGCATTGTTTCCTGCTGGAGTACACCTACTAGAAGCTAAGGACTTATTGCTTAGGATATTGCTAGAGAAACAGAAAAGGATAAACTAGTGTTGCAGGTTAAGAAATAAATACAGTCAGGTTGGCCAGATAAGGTGTCTAATAATTTACACACTTACTTCAATAAGAAAAATGAATTATCAATTCAGTCAAGATGTATACTTTGGCATGGGCGGGTTGTGATTCCAAAAAATCTGAGAGATAATGTTCTAACGCTGATACATTCAACACACCAACGTGAAAATTACATTAAAACCATTGCACGCAGCATAGTTAGGTGGCCAAATACAGATATAAATATCACAAATATGGTGAGATTATGCAAAGAATGCCAATTAGTGGCCAATATCCTTCCTAGATCAACAGGTAGATCTTGGCCACAAGTGTCTCTCTGGGAAAGAATACACCTTGATTTTTTAAATCCCTTTCTTGGAAACTACTTTTTAATTGCAGTAGATACATATTCAAAGTAAAGGTATTTCTAATTTAGTGGCATCAACCATATTTTCTCACATCAGTATATTTTGGCAGGCCATCTGTTGCTGTTACTGATAATTGATGCCAGTTTACTTCGGAACAAATCAAATCATTCTTAAGTACAAATGGAATTTGTCACCTCTTACCTCCTCTATGAAATCCTTCTTCCATTGGTCTGGCTGAGAGAACAGTTCAAACTGTTGAGAAATTATTATTAAAATTCCAAAATCCTGATATTCATGTGAGTGTTACAAGGACCTTGTTGGTTATGAGAACTTGTCCATCAAGTACCACTGGGAAGACATCAGCCGAATTAATGGGTTGAAAATTTGATGCACACCTTTCACTCTTCATCCAGTAGCAAATCCTGGATCTGTAATCAGTACCATGGACCCGAAATCCACAATTGGAGAAACGGTATAGACCCCAAAGCATTATCTCAACATGATATGTTGGGTTGCAGGCCTTACACATAAAATCATTGGTGCATAGATTTTTTATGTTCAACTGTACTCAGGTAATGAAACATGTTTCAACGGACTATTTAGGAAGCATAATTCCAGAGAACCCGCTGAAAATGTCTTACCTTCAACATCACTCACTGACTCCCAATTAAAGCGAATTAGATCCAGCATACCCTCAGTATCTATGGGCGAAAACATATCTATTTCCCACAACCCTTCATACATTCTTGGTACATCATCACTATATCAAAATGCTTCTCTTCATGATAAACCCAAGCCTTCTGCAGAGGAGGAACCAATCTCTCCACCTTCGAGCACCAGTTTAGAAATTGGTAAAACCCAAAGAGGAGCAGAATCCATGCCTCTTTCATCGAGTGAACCAGATCATCCTTCAGCACTAAGTGAGAGCCCTCCCAGAAGTCTCATACTTATACTTATCCATAGAAATGGATTCATGGAAGATTATGGCAGAACTACCTACAGCCAACCTCAGCAGCCTAGTGTATCTAGTAACTAGGTGAATTACTTTGTTGAGTTTAAAATGACATTACTCCTGTTATTTGTGTTAATACTTGCACCACGTATCATTCTGTCTATATGTTCGGGGGTGATCTGAAAAGTTTCCGACCACAACGTGAAGATGGTAGCACTCGTAAATAAAAGCAAGTAAATTTTGTTGTTCATCTGTTGACAGTTGCGCACCAAAGTTTCAGCCATTTTGGACACACAGTTTTTATGTAACAGTCGTTTCAGTGAGTGTTTTTGTGAAAATGGACAAAATCGAGTATCGAGCATTCATTAAATATTTGTTTTTGAAAGGCAATACGCCTATGCAAATCAAAGATGAGTTTGATTCTTGATTCTGTGTATATGGATTCTGCACCATCATTTACTGCAGTGAAATTTCGGGAAGCTGAATATAAACGTGGCCGTAAGAGCTTGGGAGACGATGAACGTTCGGGACGTCCAAAAACTGCAACTACCTCCGAAAACATCCACAAAGTTCACCAATATAGAAGCCTACATAAGGCTCAAATTTTTTGACTGAAAAAAATATTGTCAGTCCCTCAAGATCAAGCTAGAAATAATTGTGTTCTGTTGTTATCAGGGTTCGAGATACATAAACAATTGGAACCTCAATCATCTTCTCAGGTGATGTATCGTCAGGGAAGAGGTGTGAAAAAACAGCTCCAACACCAACTCCAACTGGTATAAAATTATTTTGGAAGCTAAATCAAAAATAACAAGATAATGCCATTCTTTTTAGCTCAGCCATGTAAGAAACTCCTGTCTCTGTAGTTAGTTGCTTCCTGTTGACAAACTTTGTGTAACTAACGATTGGATTTAATGAAGGAGTGATATTATCACTCAATATCTTTATGAAGTCATTGTAAGCCACTTCTCTCACAGTTTTAGGTGTAATCCATCTTTTGAGGTCTCGAAATGTAGCATCATCCAACATATCAGTTAGCAAGCCACGTTCCTGAATGTCTGTAATTTCTCCTTTAGCATCAAACCAGAGTTGAAATCTCTCCAGATGTTCAATCCAGCTCTCAAATTTAGAATAATCGTATTTGAGAAAGAAAATGGTGTAATTTTTTTGATAATGTTAGTGATATCAACAAAATAACGTGTTCAGTATTAAATATAAACACTTATTAGAATTCCAATCCTATCCTTGTCGCCAACTTTGTTTCTTCTAGGGTTCAATGTAATTAATATAAAATACATTAATCAGGAGTGGAATACTTTATTACACTTTTTTAGAAACAATATTAAACCCCATGTGTGTAATAATAATAATTAATAACAGCAATCAGTCCACAACAAAGATAAAACTCATTAATCCTAACATTACATACTGTTTTGAATAAGAAATGCTCATTCATTCATGGCTGTGCTCTACAGTCCTTGAAGAACCATGGCCTCTGCTAACATCTTCTTCCACATATCTCTGTCAGCAGATCAGCATCTCCATTGCTTTACACCCATCTACTTTAGGTTACCTTCCACTTTGTCCAACCATCTGAGCCTTTTTTTTCCACGCCTTTTTCCATCTCCCGGCTTTCCATAAAAAAGTTTTCTCAGCATTCTTGTAGGGTCCATTCTCTCCACATGCCCCAACCATCGCAATCTGTTGAGTTGAATGACTTTAAGAATGCCATGTTCACCATAAAGCTCTTTTAGCTCTAGGTTAGACCTAATTCTCTATTGAGCCTCCACTTTGATTGGCCCACATATTTTCCGGAGTACGATCCTTTCTCATACATGGAGCATCCTTTTCATCATGAAGCAATAGCAGATAAATTTAAAATTACGAAAACTGAGAAGAGATAGATCCTATTGTCACTTACTTTAGCTGAATCCAGGAGATCAAAAGCTCAAAGACCATATAGATAAGTTAAAATCTAAGATTTAATCAGGTAGAGCTAGATTTAAATGGCACGATAAAACTAGAAAATAGTTCTCAGATAAAGTTATTCAACTTGGCAGTATGAACAAGAGGAGCAAACAATTTTCATTATCCTTTATGAGTTCAAGACAACAAAGTCAAGCAAAAAATTGTATTCAAATGAGTACTACTCTACCTAGTTAAAAAAACAGCTAATTTAGAGGACTCCATCTTTCAGTTCCCTCCAACAGCTAAAGCCTCTTTTTCATTTTTAGCAATGAAAAAACTAAATAAATGCCAAACTCAAAGAAATCTAAAATTTATGGTATCTTGAATAAACTCGCAACAAAATAACTTTAAGACATAAGAGTGAGTCTATGCCTGTGCTAGCTGGAACGTAAAAAGAAACAACCAATAAAAATAAAAATCAGGGAAATCAACAGATATCTTTAATCAGCAATAATAGAACAGTAGGCAATGGGTAATATAATCTCTTAATATTGTACATAACTTGTAAAAATCAAAATGATGGTATTAGTATTGTATTAATATGTTTGTTTTTTTTATTAAGAAGACTTCCATTGAAGTCATATACTGTATATTAATATTAAAATAAGAACTATTTCAAATAACACAAATAAATATCCTTACCGTGGCTGATACATTTTTTGTTCCTATAATACGAGTTCCATCGAGTTTATCAAATTCGACATAATCTTCCTCATCCATTTTAAACCTAAAATATTTTAACAAAAGATATTTTAATCTATAAACATATAATTGAAAACATAACGTAATCATTTTTTAAAAATAAATCTTATTTTTAATGGCTTAATGTATACTATTTAGCTTAATTTTATTTTATTTTATAAAAAAAAACAACTAACTTTGGTAAAACAAAAAAATAATAATTGATTTTGGGCATACAATTAAAACTAAACAATCGTTAAGTTTTTTCAGACCTCCCACTTAACCAGGACAGACAAGGGATTCTTCAGGAAATGCATTTCTTAACTGAAAAATCCTGGTCAAGCTTGTTGAATCCAATGTATAATGCAAATGTAAATTTACAGTCCACTATAAAAAACCACAGAGAAGTCCTGCTTGGCAGTATGATGACATGGGGTGATACTTATTATTCTCTAAAAATTTGGAGGTTTAATTATTTAATTTTGTTTTTCAATTTTACAAGCTTCTTACAAGATAGTCTAGCAAACAGAACTTCACCGAGTTAGAGGTGAAGATAAGGTTAATTTACTAGTGCTCCAGAATTAACAAAACATATATGTACTTTTAAATTAAATAATACTTTTCAAATTACATTTCCTCAAAGCTCAAGTCCTTTAGATTCCAGCAAGCTGACAGAGGTTTTCTCCAGGTAGAAGATGTCAAAAGAAGGTTGTTGGTCCGTGAGCACTGAACTTGAGATATATAGGAATCATGACACTGATGAGCAGAAACTTCCTAGAAATATGCATATTAAATTTCACTGATTTAAAAAAGGAGAAATAAGAAACAATGAAAGTAATTAGGTAAACCAAATACAAAAATAAAGTTTAGAGTAAAATAAAAGTGGAAGAATGCAAAAACTTTGTATTTCATACATTTTGGAAAATTAATACCTTTACTAGTATTTAACATATCAAAATTAAATTTTGTAAGGTTAATAAAAATTGTAAAGGGGACAAATTAAAAATTCTGAGAAAATTGGTTTCATTTTTATTTTTGGATGAATGATTTGAAATGAAATTGCTCTATTGCCATAAATTGTAAATTATGACATAAATAAGAAAGTAGTGTTCCACGAAGTATCTAATATTTGAAGCCCCATGTCATAGAACAATGCATGTCATAGAACAATGAAGTTCACCTACAAATAACAATAACTAACAAAGTATTTGCATGAGTACATTAGTACATTAAATAATCAGCAACCAGTACCACTACAATCGATGGAGGATTTGGGATTTAGCACATTAAATAATCAGCAACCAGTACCACTACAATCGATGGAGGATTTGGGGTTTAGTACTTTGTAAGAAAGTACAGTTTCCTGGTTAAGGATGTGAATTGACTGAGATCACACACAACCACAAGCTTTTTCTTCTCAATTAATCATGAGTACCCAATTTACAGTGGCTGAATTTGGTCCAGGAGAATCTCCTTACCCCAGGGTCAATTCACATATAACAGAATAATTGCCTACCATAGCCAGATTTGAACCTAGGAACTTGAGCACAGAAGAACAGTGCCTTACATTTAGTAATATATTTATCATCAGCTAGTTTCAACTTAGATTCCTAAATTGACAAAAGAAAACATAAAATTTTAATTTAAGATTGAAGATTAAATATGCTCCAGTTATTAGAATTACCGTTAAGAAGTTCATTACTTTATTTTAAAAAATATAAATGACTATAGATTTTTCTTTTCAAAAATTAAAAAAAAAAAAACAACTGATTTAAGTACATTTAGCTTAATTTTTTTTCATTATCCATGCCGTTATTGACAGTCAAAAGTAGATGAACATAGCGACCGTGGTCGTTTATAACGATGAAAATTATCCCTTCATGATAACTACAATGATTAAATGATTTCCACTGTATATTTATTTCCAATTTGTAAAAAACATTTGTATGCAAAAAAAATTCCCTGACTTTTCCGCTTTAAAAATTCTGTGACTTTTCCCCATTTTTCCAGGTAGGTCGCCACCTTGTGTAAAGTATCAACTTTCCTGATAATATATTGTTCATACGAATGAGCATGTTTTCCTAATATTGCTTATGCTTTGAATGAATCAGATAAGAAAAAGAAAAATATTTAGAATATTTAAGACTTCTCATTTATGTATACTAGTTCTAATACAATTCACTTACAGCTCCTGTTTGTAAGTTGAACAATTTCACTTCTCCTTGGTGAGATCCTATTATTACATATTTGTCTCTTCCCTAAAAAAAAAAATTATGATGTTTATTTAAAATAAGAGGAATAATATAATGAAATGGTATAAGGGCTTACGCACATAAAAATCACAGCATGTGAAAAAAGCATTGTCATCACCATATCGGAAAATATGAACACAACAGAATTTGGAATGTATTAACCTTTGATCTAATCTTTTTGATCGTATACTCCTGCTATGCCTTACAGCAAAATTAGTAGCTATCCTGTTTCGTGCTTTAGGATCAGGACATTTGTGAGGTCTATAAAAAAAAAGTTAGGGAAGCAATCAATATACAATAATAAATATCAAAAGGTAAGTATAAATAAAAACAGAACACATGAAAAACAGCATTTAAATATATCTTATGTAAATTTGGAATTTTTCATAGCTCATTATAACATGAAACATTACCTAAAAATCATGAATACAGTTGTAGAACATAAAAAATTTTTTCAAGGATTTATTGGAAAATTCCTTATTTCTTAGTTTTTTCTCTACTTGAGAAATTACTGTAAGATTTCCGGTTTTTGAGAGATTCCTAGACACTGGAGACCTCGTTTTATAAATTTAACATTTCATTTAAATAATTAAATATAACTTTTATAAATCACAATAAAATCCCATGAAATAAATAATGAAATATATAATAATGATATATTAATTTTTTTTTTTAAGAAACAGCATGATAAGTAGGTAATTTACATTAATTAATAAAGCTATGCTCAGCTTCTTCCACCATACCTTCTCACCACTGCCTCACAACCATGTGGCTTGTTCCTCAGTGTTATCCTTTTTTTTTTTTTAGTTCAAATGTTCCAAAACATTCACTAGATTTAACTGAGTAATTACTGTCGTTAAAGTTAAAAACAGATCATGCTATCTGCTCAAAAAATCATTATGTACCTTTTAACAGATTGATCGAACAAACTTTACACAGTAATTTGCCAGAATATTGAGCTAACATTGTTTTAAAACACTCACAGAATTTCACCGAATAATTTAAGATATAGATATCAAAGTTAAAAATCAAGCCCAGCCCTTTACTCAAAATAGCATTACATACTTTTTATCGGACACTCCGAAAAAATGACTCTCGTGTCATTTCATTTACTAAACACTCGAGGTAACTCACCAATTAATATAATATATCTAACTTAAAAAAGTATGCAGCTATTCGCTCAAAACATTGTTACATATCTTTTAGCAAATCGGTTAAGCACATTTTATTTAATCTCAGACAGTATTTTTTAGCTCAAATTGTTTCAAAACACTCAGAGAATCTCACCGAATAATTTGAGCCATGAAACTTAAATATCTATCCAACCCTTCCCTCAAAACAGTGTTAGAAAGTTTTTTTGCAAATACATTAAACACATTTTTTTAATAACGGGTCACTATTTTTGGCTCCAATTGTTTTAAAAAAACTCAGGGAATCTCACTGAATAATTTAAGCCATAAAACTTGAAAATCTATCCAGCTGTTCCTTCAAAACAGTGTTACAAAGTTGTTTGCAAATTGATTAAACACATTTATTTAATAACGGGTCAGTATTTTTGGTTTCAATAGCTCTCAGCGGATGACCTAAACTAAAGATGGGCAGGTGAATTGGGAATCGAATGAATCAAAGTGTCTATTTCTCTGAAAGAATCGTATTCTCAAGCAATTCACACAAAAGAATCACAATTCACTCGGAATCGGTCGATTCAATAGGTATTATTAAAAATAACAGAGCAAAAGAGAAAAAACAATTATCCGTATATAAATAAACCAAACATAGAGAAAAAATAAATAAACAAAATTGAAATGTTAAATTAAATATTTAGATAATAATAGGTAATTGAAAATAAAAGTACAAGAGAGAAAAAAATGTACACATATATAAATAAAACAAACAGACAGAAAAAATGAACAAAACAGTGATATAAAAAAAGGGTTATAAATTTCTGAAGTATAGAATGCTAATAGAAAAGTAGATTCAGAAAGTAAATAAAACAACCCAAGCCAATGGGCTGCAAGATTTCCTAGAACAAACCCAGTGAATTGATCCAGTCAATTCACCGATTCAGCTGGAATCGGTGATTCCGATTCACTGGTTTTTGATAATATCGTTGTTTTTGATGAAATTTACCTGTCCTTTTACATTGTTTGTTGGGTTGTTATGTTTACTTTCTGAATCTACTCATCCACAGACATTTTGTATTCAGACATTTATAACCTACACTTATTTATATTACTATTTTGTTTATTTTATTTTTCCTGTTTGTTTTATTTATATAGATGTAGTTTTTTTATCTGTTGTAATTTATTTTTAATTACCTATTATTACATAAATATTTAATTTAATGCATCACCATACTGTCATGTTTTATTTATTTTGTATTTACAATTTGTTCTACAGGACCATTAGTCCCAGGATAATAAAATTATATTTAATTTCATTTACAATCTATATACACAGACCAAAATCCAATATTTAAAATTAAATAGAAAACTTTTTCTGTCTGTTAAAATAAAATGCGAAGATGATGAAAAAAAAGCATACTACAGAAAAACCTCACAATGGTTAGAACGTAGGTTACAACACAAACAAAATTGCAGATCAAAAACTACAAAACCAAAACTAGTGACAGGACTATCACAACACACCATAAATAAGGGACATCACTTTTTAAGAACCCGGAATTACTTATTATCAAATCTGATAAAACAAAAAAGACAATCATTATTTCAAAATCAGACTATAACGTATAACAAGAATGGACAGACTTCGGAATGATGTCAGTCCGGAGAGGATGGAAGTTCATATGTTGGTCAACAACAGAAGGTTAAGGTGTTGAGGAATGACCGTGTAAGGCGAATGTCAACAGAGCGAGGCCAAATCGAGTTTAAGACTGGCAACCGCTGGGAAGGCTCAGAAGTAGATGGATTAGTAGAATGGAAGAAGAAATGGCGGGCCGAGGAATTCAGGATAGTGATTTGTTGCACCGCTACCTCTGGAGCTCAGCCCTGATGTAAAAGGCAACCCAAGTTGGAACGCCTACAAGTAAAAGTAAGAATATAATAATAACATGTATGAACTGCTCGATGACCGGCAAAAATATGGACTCCTTAGGAAAGATGAGAGCCAAGATAAATTACCAAATTATGTCAACAAACTAATTAATAATAAATCCATAGAAGAAAAATATAAATATTGTTTAATTAATAAACACTACACAATTTGAAGAATATATGTACTGAGTAAACTACATAAAACAAACATACAACTTAGACCAATAGTCAATAACATTAACGTGATTACTGAAAAACTGGCAAAAACCTAATCAATCTTAATAATAAAAATACATATGACGTAAAGAATTCTATTTAAGTCAAAGATAAAATAAATAGCTTAAATAAAATTGAAGAAGATGAGAGCCAAGATAAATTACCAAATTATGTCAACAAACTAATTAATAATAAATTCATAGAAGAAAAATATTAATATTGTTTAATTAATAGACATTACACAATTTGAAAAATATATGGACTGAGTAAACTACATAAAACAAACACACCACTTAGACCAATAGTCAATAACATTAACGTGATTACTGAAAAACTGGCAAGAACCTAATCAATCTTAATAATAAAAATACATATGTCGTAAAGAATTCTATTTAAGTCAAAGATAAAATAAATAGCTTAAATAAAATTGAAGATAGTGAATGTCTTGTCATTTATGATGCTGAATCCATTTTTACAAATATACCCCTTAATCAACTATAAAAAATAATGGAAAAAAATGGGAAGAAATCAAACCCCATACACCAATTAAAAGAAAGCACTGTTCCTAGAGGGGATAAGGTAATTCACATACAGTGGAAATTTCTTTAAAATCACAAATGGACAACCGATGGGGGGTGGGAGGAGGGCATCTCGATCTCAGCGGTATATTTCTCAGTAACCAGTTGGGTAAAGCTATTAATACATTTAATAAAACCTCTAAGATATTTATAAAATATGTAAACAATATCCTATGATTATGGACAAAAATAAAGTAAAAACTTCTTTAAATATATTTAATTCATTATCAGAAAAACTAAAATTCACAAATGAAATACAAAAAAAAAAAAAAAATTAAATTAGATTCTTGGACATTAATATAAATAGGAACGAAATGAAACCAAGTTTAATCTTGACAGTCGACCTTAGAAAACTTGGTTTAATCTTAGATAACGCTTAATCTAATCTTTACTGAGTTGAAGCAACTGGCTCTTAGTGATTGCAATAAAACAAAGGTATATCCAGTCATGCAAATAAGATAATTATATATGTAAGATAATAAAATATAAATTAGTGACACTAAATTAGCATAGTAATCATAATACACAACAGAAAATCAATACAGCTAAAAATTTAATTGATAAAACAAAATTAACAATGGATGAAATACATATTGAGTAAAGAAGTAAAAGCAGAAATATATGAAATTCTCCTTCAAAATCGGTACCTTATAAGGCTTATAAATAAATTTTGGCACAAGAATAAAATTTAGATAAACGAAAATAATAATAAAAAACTAAAGAAGGATCAAAATTCAATACAAATACAAAAATGAACCAAAACAAAAACAGAAATAAAAAAACAAATTTAATCCCAAACTATATTAAATTATAAGATACTTTTTTTTTCTTGTTCTTCCCACCTCCCCTTTTAGGCTATATGGGATTTTCCCGGGCCGGAGAATTTAAAATCCCCTCCGGCACCAGGATGTGAATTAGTACTTTTTTTAATCTCATAACTTCCGTTATCTGGTTGCCAGGCAACTCGCGATGCTGTGAACACGAGTTAGCTCATTCGGCCACCCCGCTCCCAAAGGTTCAACCGCAAATTAGAAGAAACTATAAAACAAAAGAATAATAATGAGAATTTTGATCTATATACTTTCAGGATGATAAAAATAATAATAATAACTTAGAGCCAAACTCCCAACAATATTTTTCAGTAATATACATTAGAGGGTCAACCAATAAAATAGAAAACAAATCTAAAAGTATGATTTAACCGAAATAAAATTTGGAAATAAATTAGAAAAGTGTACAGTAAAACTAAGGATAGTATTCCAAAGAAAAATTGACTAATGTAATATATATATATATATTTTTTTTATTTCTTAATGACATTTACAATTGTATTACATAAATACATCAAGTAAATTTGGACATAATAGATATAATGACATGAATACACTTGCTGAGTAACTACCCAATGGTAGCACTCTAAATGTAATATATAAAATAGAATGCTAACACTGTAAAAATAAAGCATACTACAGACGAACCTAACAATAGCTCGAACATAGGATACAATACAAACAAAATTACAGGTCAAAAACTACAAAATCCTGTTGCTAGACAGGACTATCACAACACACCATAAACATAATTTTAATTTCAATAAGGCATCAATTTTACAGAACAACAAAATTTCAACAAACAGAGAATTATGAATCGATATTCAAAACCAAAAACATAAAGCAATCAGTAAATCAACAAAGGGATGTAGCATACCTTGACATGGAATTCCAGAGGGAGGCTGCTTGAATTGCAAAGGATTTGTCAAACACAGCAGTTCGGTAAGGAGGATAGAGGTCGGAAGTACGAGATCTAGTGGGGAGGCATTGGATGGAGCATTTAAATTGTAAGTTCTCAAAAATATAGAAGGGTCTATAAGTTCTAATGAGCAAATATAGGAGGGTCGATGAGTTCTAATGACCTGATACAGAAAGGTACCTAGGAAGTACTGACTACGATAGGATTGATAGAGCCACTTCTACTAGGTGTAATACTGGGTAATATGTGTTTCTGTTGAGATTCCGAAAACAAAATGTCATGTGCAATTCATTAGGTGTTTAAATCTGGCCTCAAAATCCTTAATGCTGAAATATATGAACTATTTTAATAAAATAAATAAAACAATTAAATTCTAACACCTCCATCCACACTCCTAAATAAAAATTATACCAGTCTTGAATGAAAGAATAGTAAATGAACTTCAGACTTAGATGTCTTCAACTAACTTGATACATATTTCATGATCAAATTACTATATTCCGTTTTTTCTTTTCTTAGAAATAAAATTTAACATTATATTTAATAAGTTAAATATAACTTTTAGAAATCACAACAAAATTCCATGAAATAAACGATGGTTCATAAAACAAAATATATAATAATGATATATTAAATTTTTTTTATGAAATAGTGCATGATAGGTAGGTAATTTACATCAATTTTAAAACAAAGTAATCAAAAATTATATAAGTTTTAAATTAAATTGAAATATTTTGAAAAAACATAACTAAATTAAATTTTTTTTTTACAGATTCTTGAAAACGGCTCAAGAAGACGAAAGGTTGGCAAATAAAAAAATACAATAAAAACATATTTTATTGGTGACCTGTGGCCTTAAGCCTATTAAATAAAAACATTTTGGTAAATATTCTTTCCATAATCAGAAACATATTATTTACAGTTACTTCTTCTTGTTTTATTTTATTTTTATTTTTATTTTATTTTTTTGAAGTTATGAATTAACAATAATTTGTATAATTATAGCAAAGAAAAAAACAACCTTGTTTATATTGTCACAAAAGGAGTAGAATAAAAACAAAAAAAAATTCCTGTACATTCCCTGGTTTTCCCCTTAAATGAGAAATTCCGATACAATTCCCAGTCGCTTGACACCATGTACTCATCTTTACTAATCTATAAAGTAAAAATCAGCTTAATATTCATACATTTTTATAATCTCCTAATTTTGACATGTTGAGGGTGGAGGTCATGCTAAAAGTCCAATATTCTCGTATGCCATCTTTTTCTCAAATCATCTTACGATGCAAAATGAGTTATTAGTGCCTCATTAATTTGACATGTTTAACGATCTAGATGTTGAAAACACCCCATTTACAAGAATTTATGTACATAAAAAATTTGTAGGTAACGATAAAATGAAATCACATATAAAGTTCTAGATGAGTGTTAATAAATTGATAAAACGGTTAATAAAGGTGGTCTGGACAGCAGACTATAACTGAAAGTTAGATCCAGTCTATTCCATAACACAGTAGGGAGGGAGTTAGGAGAACAGTAGTGGGATAGTCTTATTGTTGTAAAAATAAGCCTCGAGCTCTGACTCAAGCCCTAAAGGTTAGAGTCTTGAAGGCTCGGCTCTAGAGCCTTTGCACTTCAAATCTTGAAGGCTCATAAGGTTCGAGCCTTGATGAACTTATCTTTAGAAAAAAAAACTTAAATTATTGTAGTTTTGTACATTTTAGTAAAAAAATTATATATCTTTTTTCTGTTGGCAGTAACATGTGAATATATTTTAGAAATATAATGTGAATATATTATTTTTCTATTAGTAGTAACAATGTGAATATATTTTCAAAATATAATGTGAATAAATAGGTAAAAAAAAAAAAAACACAGGTAAATCTCGAACCTCGAACTCTTAGGACTCAACCCTTGGCTTAGTTGAGAAAGCTTGAGCCTTTTAGGCTCAAGCCTTATAGCCTTCTAACCGAGCTCTACCACTAAGTTGATGAGCCTTCTCATATCTTAGTTAATCTGGTAGCAATACACCAATGTAAAAGTGAAGAACTAGTATATAACGAAAGAGACCAGAACTGACAGCATGTTTTATTCAAATAATAAAACATATAACTGCAAACAGTCATCAAGAAGGGAAATTTCATAGCTTTAAATCACTAAGCATTTTGTTCATTTTTCCCCTTATAAAATCATAAAATAGTGCACTTGTGCAAAAATGGCATGCAAGTACTTTTACTAGTTATATAGGAATATAAGTACTTTTTTTACCCTTTGGTTTGTTTTATTTTACAATGCTTTTTAAAAAGCGTTCTTAAAAAAAGTTCAGCACCATCAAAACAGTAATTAGTGTATTTATATAATAAACCGATGCTATTATATAATTGGGATGCACAGAAAAGAACAACTGACCTAAACAATAGACTTTATTTCAGTTAAAACTATAATTCAAGTACCTGCCAAAGATATAATATTACTAATAAACATTATGTAGAACAGTTTACTCTATTAAAAAATTGCAAAACAATTTAAAAACTTCATTAACAAACATATGAGAGAAAAACAAGCAAGGTTCAAACTGTGCCTTGTGATCCTTGTGTGAGCCTTCTATCGCCGAGCTCTTAGGACTCCAGTCTTGGCCGAATTACGAAAGCCTTTTGATTGAGCTCTTTTACAACACTAGACAGTCTGCCAGCACAGTATCCCCAATCCACATGGTCATCTCTACTAACTGTTACAATAATAATAATAATAAATAATGCCGCGTTAAATTAGTACTTAAATAGAAGAAATTTGATACGGGCATTGAATAACTGCTTCAGCCTACTCATTTGGGGTACTGAAGGGTACTAAAACCGATTTAGAAAGGTTGGATCGTTTTCCCAAAGTCCAGATGGTGCTTTCAAGGAAGAGGCACCCAAATTCATCTGTAGTGAGATTGTATCTTCCTAGGAAGATGCGAGGGCGTGGTCTAATCAGCATCTTTAATTTATGCCGAAAGGAAGAAAGTAATCTTCGCAACTATATTATAAACCATACCTCCAATATCCTTTTAACTATAGCATCATTAGATATAAATTATACAACTTTGAATTTACAAAACCCTATTAGTGAAGCAGATGATGGCACTCGATCAGAAATATGGAAAAATAAACCTTTACATGGACGATTTTATCACTCAGAAATGGATGTAGGAGTGGACACTGAGGCGTCGTTGACATGGCTGAGGAGTTGAAGAATCTTTCCAGAAACAGAAGGATTCTTGTTTGCTATCCAAGAACAAATAATAGCCACAGGGCAGAGGGTATCGATGACTTATATTGTTTATGCAAAAAGTCAGTTGAATCAATTCAACATGTAACATCGGGATGCACAATTTTTGCGGGTAAGGAATACTTGCAGAGACACAACAACGCAGTTAAGGTAATGCATCACATCAACAAGCTATGGCTCAGAAAATGTAACTCGCGGATAAATATTGTCAGTATTATAAATATTATCCAGAACCAATAAACTCCATGCACAATGTCAAAATGTTCTGGAATCAACCGATCCTGATGGATCACACCATCCCTCACAATAGGCCTGACATTCTTATAATAGAAAAATGCTGACATTCTTGTAATAGAAAAAAAGCAATCTGCATTTATCACAGATTGGGATTCCTTCTGATAACCTACACAAGGTAGTAGAAGAAAAAAAAAGAAAGTACGTAGAATTAGCTGAAGAGATAAAACAATTGTATCATTTTAAGGAAACCTGAATTCTGGCAATTATGAACTCATGCAACGGAAGAAGCTTTATCTTCTCTGCGACAACTAGAACTACCATCTCGAACAATCGAAAGAATGCAACAAGCGGTGTTTTGGGGAACAGCAAGTATAGTCAGGAAGTTCAAAAATATTAAATAATTATGAAAATGTATAAATGTAATTTTTGGCTGACCTAATAGATCCCCAACTATTACATATTATAAACACCATTGTATATGTGAAAAATAAAGAAATAGTAATAATAATATTAGAAAATAATTATTTAAAAGCATTATGAAGTTACATACTCAAAAAGCGTAAACTGTGGACACGTTGACATTGGATTTTTACAAAGAGCATGCTGATTAGTTAAATACTCAGTTATAATAGAGTCAAGAGTAACATTCGGTTCCTTTGGTTTTTGAGAAATATCAGTTACTTGATAATGAATTTTTTTCTCCAATGAACGCCCAACTGGAGTAGTTGGCAACTTTACATCAGGTTTCTTCAGCGAACTTCATAGAACATACAAGAAAAATATATATAACATAACGTTAATATGTATAACTTCAATGTAAATGTGAAAAATAAATTACCTTGACATAGGTCCAATATTAAGTTTAATGGGACCTGGAGGTTTTGTTACCGATTCTACATCAGCTTTTGGAATTTGACGTTGGTTTCGATTCTGAAATGAAAAACTCTGGTTATAATATAAATAAATCTGTCATATATAGAATATTATATGTATGAGGAGGTATGTCAATTAAATAACGAGACTGATGCTGTAAAACATTTCATTTTGATTTTAAACATATTTATTTATTATCTCCTTCAGTATACACCCTTCCTCTATTCTTTATACTCCATGCAAATCTTCCATTCTCTTGAATCAGTGCTGGAAATTTTTTTCTTTTATCTCTTTCAGGGAAACACTGAGTCTGACTAGACTCTCCCTAGAGTCCACAATATAAAACGTGACCACTCGAAAAATCACAGAGCAAAAGATTCCTAGCTGTGGAGATGGATTTTTAGAGAAGGTCTGCTAGAGTTTCGAGGAAGCAGAGAATCAGAAATGAAACCATTAGAGAAAGGATGGAAGTCAGAAATAATGTGCTATAAATAATGGAAGAAAGAAAATTAAAGTGGTAAGAAGTTCAGAATAGAAGGCATCACGTCAGGTGAAGAGATGTGGCTGAGAATATGGCGGGCTGGGGACTGATGGAAGGGGAAGCAATGAACAGGAAGAAGTGGAAGAACCGATTGAGGGAGGAATTCACACATGGAGAAATTTCAATTTATAAAGAAAAGACCCTTAAATAAAAAAAATTATATGGGAATAGAGTAGCTTACTCAGTAAAGCACTCTGCTCCTATTATCTCAGCTCTGGGTTTGAGCCTAGTAGTAGAGATAATTATTTATTTTATTACACTAGTGCTGGATCGATCCTAGAGTCAGTAGACCCACCTGATGCACACAAAGCCTTGATACAGTGGGTATTCTTAATTAATTAAGAAAAAAACTGGCTGTATATCATGATCTCAGTCATATCACCTTTCACTAAGAAAAAGTACTAACAAAGCACTGATCCCAAAACCTTTCATGGATTATAGTGGCAAAGGTTGTTACAGAATATTCAACTCAACAAATATGCAAGACATATAGGGATAGGCAATTCCAACTGCAGAACGGAAGCTTACAAATTTAATCTAAAAATTAGAACATATGTAGAAACTTTAATCAATAAAATAGAAACATTCTTTTAACATTAAATTTTTTTTAACAATAATGATATACCTTATATCTTATCACGTATAAGTAGGTAAAATAAAATGAGAAACACGAAGGTCACTAATTCCTAATCATTTGTAAAACGTTCAATGATATAAAATCTTCCACAAATTCCATTTCCCTATCGGAATCACTTTATTTTATTTAGAAATCTAAAGTTATTTGGTTAAAGTAATTTTTTTTGCTTTTTTAATTTCTTTAATATTATATTAAATTCATGATTTGGATTAAATAATATTCATGATTCAATAAATTATTTAATCTAATTTGCTTTGATGTAAGAAGACTAAATTATATATAGTCGTTCTGGTTTATTTTTAAGTGGTTGTGGTGTGGTTCCACAATTCTCCTAATCCACTTCTGTGCCACCCTGCTCTCCATAATTTCTATAAATTGATTCTATAATATTTTTAACTCTTCTCCTGATCACCTAGCCATCGAAATCTAAAGACGTTCTGATCTTATATACAGAAATGTTCTGATCTTAGATTACATTCTGAAGGAATGAAATCACTTATGATCTCATACAGTTACGATGTTGGAATGTGTTCCGCGAACCATTCCGCCCAGAATGGTCCATCCTTGATAGTATATAATAAATATGCATTAACAAGTAAAGATTTTTAAGTATATATGAAATATAATAGTCACGGACCCATGGAAAAAAAGGTGTCATATTTCTTACAAAGGTTTGTCCTTATAAATTGACCATATCCACAGGCCTGACTGAGAAAAATGCAAGTCTGCCAGCATATAGCCACTGGAATACAAAATGGCAGCCAGGTGAAGATAGATAAGAGACCCCCCCCTATAAAAGTAGTAAACATATATAGACTTAAAGATATAGAAAGCTACCAACCATTTTAATTTATAGTATTTACTGTTTTAAGACAAGGAATAATAGTCAGTTACTCCATACCTGTGGATTTCAAGTCGAAAAATTGAATTTACGATTCAAAAAGTTTATTTTATTTCAGTTTTTTGCTTTATATCAGTGAAACTATGCGTTCTTTCTATTATTATGTCATATGTGAAATTAAAGCTGACAAAATTTGAAACAGAAATGGTTATATTAGTTTTGTTTTAGCTATATTCTATAGTTTCCGTGATATTCATCTTTGTAATTCACTAATTTCGAAATAAATTATTTTTGCCACACATTTTTATCATTATTTGACTCGCTAACTCTTTATCTTTTCATTTTACGAAAAAGTTATGAGGAAGAAAGTTGTTTAATATTAAATTTTCTTTGAGTATATATACACTGACAGGAAAAAAATTCCACCCACTTGATTTTTTCATGTTTCCATCTAAAAATATTTCCGCTTTGGATTGGTCTATTGTTTTTAATGAATAAGTAGGTAATCTTTTTGTTTGTTTTCAATTAGGAATATTAATATAGAGGACAATAACCCTTAATCCTTAATTGAATGAAACGATTCTAGATTCCAATGTTTACTTTTTATTGAATCAAAATGTTTATTCAGTATCATTAGTTCGGTGCCGTTTCTTGCAGCAGATTTCTTAGTCTTCGGCTTTTAATTTTTTCAATATTAAGTTTAAAAATACCTCTTAGTGTTGAGGATGTTGCGCGTGGTGTGGCACTTATTGATGATGGAGGTTCCATTAGATATGCAGCTAATGCCATCGGAGTTCCATATGAAACTTTACAAGACACCATCAGGCGTTTTCGGGAATTTGGTTCTGACAATAGAAGGCCCGGTTCTGGACGGCCTAGGTTAACAGAACCACGGGATGACTGGTTTTTGACTTTGAGAATTTTACTAAATCGGCAACTTACCGTTGTTCAAGCGATTCATCAGCTCGAACAAGTTCGAGATGTGCAAATTTCTGAACGTACCGCTCGGAGAAGATTAAATGAGTATGGATTAATGACTTTTCGTCCAGTAAGAGGACCAGAGTTGACCAGAACTCACAGAGTAACACGGCTGGCTTTTGCTCGAGAACACAGCCATTGGACTATGGACGAATGGAGTGCTGTACTTTTTACAGATGAGTCAAGATTCGCTCTTCGATCTCCAGACGGGCGTGAAAGGGTGTGGAGAAGAAGAAATGAAAGATATGCAGCCTGTAATTGTTCCCAGAGCCAACCTTTCCAACGTGGTTCCTTAATGGTGTGGGCTGGGATTTCAATGGAGCGCCGCACAGAACTGGTTGTTGTTCGTGGAGAGTCTTTGACGGCCATTCGCTATGTAGATGAAATTTTGGAACCTCATGTGTTGCCTATCCTCAACAAAATCAGCGATCATTCTATTCTAATGCACGATAATGCACGCCCACATGTCGCAGATGTTTCAACAGAACAATATTGAGGTTTTAGCCTGGCCAGCACGTTCTCCAGATTTGAACCCCATTGAGCATTTATGGGATAACCTCGGAAGACAAATAAGAGCGTGTGCAACATTTCCTGATACACTGCAGGACCTTGAAAGGGCTGTTTGGGAGGAATGGGCTATCCTCCAGCAAAGGGACATTTCCCGACTGGTGGAAAGTATGCCGAGGCGTCTTCAAGAAGTAGTGAAGGCAAGAGGAGGTAACACACACTACTAAACGATGATGTAATTAATTTCTTTTAGAATAATAATGGTTTGTTTTTCAATTTTTTTTCTCTAATCTTTCTTACCCAATCACATTTTCATTATTAAGGGTAAAAAAGATTATAAAATTCCATAAATACTGAGTATTATCTACAAATACCATGTATTATATACAAATACAAGTTTTTTTACAAGTGGCAGAAATATTTTTAGATGAAAACATGAAAAAATCAAGTGGGTGTAATTTTTTGCCTGTCAGTGTATATCACATTACTATCTTATCTTCAACCATTCAAATGTAGAGCAATTATAACTTAATGATTAAACTCCAAATTTATTAATCTATATACGAAACATACATGATATACATTGGATTATATAACATACGTATCTATAATTTCTTATATGTAATGGCTTATATAATATAACTTTAAAAGCTGTGCGATAACGAAAATTACGAAAAGTTTTTCTGTTTGGTTTTTACAGTTTCGGAGTTTATCGTTAAGTTATAATTGCTCTAGCACTTGAATGGTGGATGATAAGATAGTAATGTGATATATTCCTCATGCCTTTTTCATAAAATGAAAAGATAAAGAGTTAGCGAGTCAAATAATAATAAAAATGCAAGGCAAAAACAATTTTATTTTGAAGTTAGTAAATTACAAAGACAAATACCATATAAATTATAGTATATAGAAAAAAAACTAATGTAACCATTTATGTTGCCAATTTTGTCAGCTTTAATTTTACACATGATATCATAATATATAGGACTCATAGTTTCACTGATATAAGCAAAAAACTGAAAAAGTAAACTTTTTGAATCGTTAATTCAATTTTTCGACAGAATCCACGGATGTGGGATAACTGACCACTATTCCATGTCAGGCAGTAAATACTATAAATTGAAAGGGTTGGTAGCTTTCTACATCTATAAGCCCTCTTTATATATACGTTTACTACCAATATAGGGTCTCTATCTATCTTCACCTGGCTGCCATTTTGTATTCCAGCTGCTATATGCAATTTGCTCATAAGGCCTATGGATAGGATCAATTTATAAGGACAAATCTTAGTATGATATATGACACATTTTTTGCCACGGGCTCCAGGACTATAATAGAGAATGAAAAGACAAGTAAACATTTCTAAGGATAACTGTAAAATGAGAATCACGAATTTATAATATGATGTGTATCTAATAAAGAGAAAATAAAATAATTCATTATCTTCATTTAGAAAAAAATATGTTTAAAAAATGTTAACTTTATGCATGCAAAATAAAAATGTCATAATATCCTTACAACTAGTAAATATATAATATAAAATAAATACCCTTGTTGGGGTAACTCTCTGCTGATATGTAAAAGGAGACAGAAACTTATCTATCTGTGGCTGTGGAGGTTTGATAGGTGGTAAACCAGCTTCTTTTTGAAGGGCTTCTGCACTGTCTATAAACCCATGGTTTTGCAAATGCTGATGAATCAACTGAAGAAGGTCACATTCATTAAACTGTATACGAGTTTGAGCCACAACATTTGCCTTGAAAATAATAAACGAGAATGGTTAGAAAAACAACTTATTAATCATACTGCAAATAAAAATGTTTAAAGCTTTTATTTAATTCTCACTCTTCATACTTTCTTTTTTGTTATAATTCTTTTGCATTTTTACAATGGATGCAACTAGTTTGTAACTTGGACTAGAAGTGATAACAAAGGTTGTAGAAATAACTCCTAATAGCTGACTAACAAAGGTTGTAAAAATAACTCCTTATTGAAGTTATTTATCATTTATATTTCTATAAATATAAATACTGACAAACTTGTCCAAGGCTGCAAATAAGTGACATACTCACACAATCGGTAAATATTCATTTTACTGAAAGTACAAGCATATAAGTACAAAAGTAAAGAGATATGTGAGCGTAAAAGGACACAACCATTTACCCTTATACATCAGTTTATTTGATTTGCTGAGGCCTCGCTGATTTCTGACATCATATCTTTTATATTCACACTTAAATCAGGACCTCAAATTAATATCGAGTCATTAAAAAAAAAAAAAACAGTTAATTTTATGCATAAAATTAACTTATGAATAAACATAAAATATAAATGCAACAATGACAATATTATACAAATAATTTGATAGTAAACAATGAAAGAATGTATAGAAAACGTACTCGGTGTATATTAGATAGTGATGGTTCTTGTTCATTCTTTGGTTTTCTTTTACCAGAGACCCTCTCTAGAAGCTCCAAAGCATATTTTTGAAAAGCAACATGTTCTTGTCTTCTATCTTGTAATATAGGATCTCGCATAAGATCTAAAAATATATTTTAAAAGAATAACAACATTATTGTCATTTAATAAAATTTCAAATAATAAAAACAAAAGAGGAAGGCTTACTCTGTAACTGGCCAGTTGTAAACAAAGGAAGTTTACTAATTATTTGTCTTACAGTCTCACTTCTAGCAAGACCAGCTAAAGCTTGGCATGCTAATCCCCTAATAGAATCAGCATCAGTTATAGGCATTTTTACTTGAATTAAATTCAATAACACCTAAAAAAAAAAAAATATATATATATATATATATATATATATATATATATATATATATAATACTAATACATGTATACAAAAATTATTATAAAAAATTAAATTAATGTTATCAATCTCTAAATGTATAAAATTTGAATATCAGCTTCTAGCTTTTAACAAAAAAATAATAATTAAAAGGTTAACAAAACTAAAGTAGCACCTCAATGATTTATAGTTGATGGTCTAAGATAAATAAATATTTAGCAAAACCAGTAATTGAAATAACAATCGTAATCAGGTTTCAGATTATGATTGTAATCGTGTAATCGCGGTAATTGGTAATTGTGTCATATTTTTGCAATATTTATAGAGCTATTGAATCAAGTATAAAATTATTGTGGTCATTAAGTTTAATTTTCAGTTGTAATCATGTATCTAATTTAATATATATGTCGTAAAATAAAAGAATTTTTTTATTATTACTTTTGTTTTTGTTTACAATTTCAATAATACGAAAATAATACAATAAATATGAATACAAAGATAGGAATTACGAGAAGGCTTATCACTGCCTTACCAGAATTATCAGTGTTCAGGTTATAAACATTTGCAGGTAGCAGTCCATCCCACCCGGCTAATGGACAAGTACCAAAAAATTATTGTCTCACCTAAGCTAATTGTACAGCATTTATCAGAAGGGAACCAACCTACATTACATATGTTTTGAGTAACCCTCAGTCAAAGTTAAATGGCCTTTCATATAATTATATCAATATTAGGCAATGAAACTCTCATTAGCTATCTAAGCCACACAACTTCAATCTCAAAGTTCTAAATACAAAGTAAGGTTTGAAAGTGCATTCATATTTCTATTCTATAAATAACAACAAGTAAGGATTAAATATAAATACTTCATCTTCTGTATACAATTTTATTACTCTTTTTCGCAACTGGTTTTGATCATTAAAACATTTAGGCTAAATAAAACACAAACATATTAACTATAAATCATGTAATAAACAATACTAATCAAATTATATTTTTAAGAGCCAAGACGTTTAGTGCAAGAGAAATTTTCAAAACCAACAAATTGAAAAAAGTTTTGTCAGTTCATCGTTTGCAGGAATCTAAATTTTTTTTCAGATGGGATAAAAGTTTGTTGAACTTTGCCAAAAGTATATCGATTCTGATGGAAATTGTTTTGACTAAATATACACAGTTTAAGTGAAGACATAGTGTATTTTAAATCAATATTAAAAACATCTATTATTTTTACATCAACCCAATACATAGCTTAATAATAAACGAAAAAATTTACAAACTACTTAAATTAAGCGAACAATGTGGTAAGGAAAGTTGCGAGTGGGGATAAGCCACATAAAGTTGATTTATAACTATTTGAATATAATAAAAAGTTGTGTGATAATTTTAAACCTTTTTCCAACATTTTAAAATTCAAATTAAATTTCTGAGTTAAGCATTAAGGGAACAATTAAATGATTTTTATCAAAAATAAGAGGAAAAGTCTTAAGTCTTTTTTTTTTTTTTTTTTTTTTTTGTGGAATATTACACAGTAGCAAGTAATAACAAACAGTGAACAGAAAAAATAACAATGAATTTTTGCACACAAATTTATGCAAATAAAAAACTCTAAGTCTTACTTTTCGAACTAAGATGATTTCACCATTTAAATGTATAAACAAATCATACTATCTTTAATGATAATACAGCACTTATTGATGTAATAGACAAACATACCATGATTCCATTTGTAGTTCTTAAGCATTCCCAAACTTTTTCAATTACTTCTTCACTACTCCGAAACAAGTTAGTTCGCTTTTTACTGGAACCTCCAGAAGAATATCGTGCTACCACTCCACCAACCTATAAAAAATCATTACGAAATGACAATACTTTTCAAGAAATTATTTCTATCAATTTTTTTTAATTACCTTAAGTGGAAAATGAATAACCATATCAAATTTAAAAAAATGCTTATCATCTAATATACTGAAGAAATCGATAGTGATTCAATTATTAGATTGGGCTGTTTTTAAAAAAAAGCCTTACAATTACTTGATACATATACTGAAATCTATACAATGAAACCTTAAGACACCTTTTATTATTTATTATGATTAATAAACATTACTTTGGTTATAATTAATAAACATTAAATTTCCATTATTTTGGTTTTCGATAAATCGCAAATTTTACATTTAATGAAGTAATCGGGACTATTATTTGAAGAGATGATATCATTGAATGTTATTGGAATGTTAACTCATAAATTAAATTTAAAAGTAAATTCTATAGTTATACTCATTCTTAACTTAAATACTCCACAAGCATTAGTTAATGGAACACAAATGCGAGTGAAGTACTAACGGAAGCTACTTTAAATACAGGAATTTTAATTCCAAGAACTAATTTAATATTTTCTGACACAATACTTACATTCGACACAATAATTACATTCGAGCTATTAATTAAGAACAACGTTCTTTTCTATGACCATAATCAAATCACAGTGTCAAAGTTTTGGAAAAATGTGTGTATTATTGCGACGTCCAGTAATTTCGCATGGACAATTATATGTAGCAGCAAGTACGTTCATTTAAAATATTGAAATGTATATGTTCAATGACAATGGACAAGGCTATGCACTAAACAATAACAGAACATTCAAAAAGAACATTGTTTACAGATTGAAACAATGTGATGAAACAATATGTGAATATACTTCTACAGATCTACAGGAGAGATCGAAAGAGAAGGAAGAAGGATATAATATGAAATAATAGACATATAGGAATGTGGAGAAAGAAAAGCAAAAATAATTAAATAATTATATAAAATTAGAAGAATAAAAATACAAAAATAAGATGGAATGGCCGAGCAGCATGTGTAAGCACGTTCAAGACAATAAGTATGTGCAAAATAATGTTGCCCGGCAACCTGATAAACTGCAAACAAGTTCGAGCTTTTAACACTGGCATTATTCCCCCATCCTCTACCCTGGTCTGGGAAACATCCCATACAGCCAAAAGGTAAGAAAGGTAAGAGGAAAAAAAAAAATTAACGACAAACCTCACAGTTATTATCAATGAAGATAATCAAGAAATAATTTGTCAGGGAATCTGGTCAAAAATTATTTAAAAAAATAGTGTATGATTGTTGACTGCATCTAATCATTCCTGGAATTATAACTACAGTCAATAATTTCTGTAACATCAAAAAGATAATCATTCTTTCCTGCACTTGATATTAAATATACCAGACTGTTAACGAGATGAAAATTTCGAAAAACTGAAACAGTACCTTGTGAGTGATAATAGCGAGGATTTTGGTCATTGGATTAATAAATGAAGAGGAATTAGTGAAAGGTGATGATGGAAATGAAGATTACACACCTAAAAACAGCCACCTATAAAGATTTCATCAAATGGCAAACTTGAAATCACATGAAAAAGATATATGAAAACACATGTAGGCTTTCTTTTTTAAAGACATGAAGTATGCATGTAGCCACCAAAAGAGGGATGTGAAAAAAAAAATTCACATAAAAGGTTTTAAAATCAACTATAAATGTATAGAGTTGATTTTAAAACCTTTTAAATTGTATATATACAAATACTGGAGTATATCACTTTAGTATGATTTGTTTTCAAATATTTCCAAAATTATTTAGATAATTACAATGATTTGGTAATACAACGGAGCCCAGGTTTCATTCAACTCGGATTAACAATATTCTACTAAAGAACAAATAACAAATAAATTATTTTGAAATAACAAATAAACTTTACTTTAATAATATTGTACAATTTATTATTTTGAGGTTATTACTAAACATATTAAGAGTATGAAGAAAGTAACATAACTAGAAATAATTTATATACCCTGTAGATGGGAGCACAAACACAAGTCATGATAACATGAAGTGCAGCTCGCTGAACATCAGGATCTGTAACAATTTCTCCCTCTGCTGCACCAAGGATTACATTTATTCCCATCATATTATTATCATCAGGCAAATCAACATTTGAACAAAGTGTCATTTGAACTTTTGGCATCACAGAACAAACTCGAAGCACATCTAGTACACTACGAACAGTTTCTCCTCTGAAAATAGAGATAGACATACCATTAAACATATCATTCATGAGGAAAAAGAATATCAATACAAAAAAGTCGAGCTTTACACGAGAAGTGTTTAAAGCTTGCATATATTCCTAAGTCAAATTAAAACACAAAGTCAAATATTTCCTTAGTCAATAATGCTCACCTTTTTTGTTTAAAAAATAAAGTTAATCTTCATCTACTGATAATTTAAATATAAGTTGTGGAACTAAATTGTAACAGTTTATCATTAAAAAAAAAACTAAAATAAATTATTATTACAGTTGATAATAAAATTCTGATTTTTTTCCCAAAAGAAATATAGATGATCAGAAGATTTCCAAGAAAAAAATAAGAAGATTTTTATATTTTGGCATTCTTCTTCCAAATGATATATAGAAGATATACATAAGTTGGAGATAAACAGGATGTATCATAAACAGTTGACAATACTTAAAGAGCCATCAAATTCCCTACTCAAATGCACAAATTAACTTAATGATCCATCAGTTTCTACATGGTTTCCTAATAACAAAACAATGTTCAAAATAAAAAATACATAAATGATGGAAAAAGGAAACCAATTTGAGGCAATATAATAATTACATCTTTTCAATGTTTGGAAATTTTCACATGGCTTGAACTTTTCACCAACATTTAGTATATAGTCAACTATAACTTAACCAATAGTTGTCCCGAGGTACACTCTTTAGAGATTGTACTTGTTAAGAAACATATTTTCCACGAGTGAGGAGAAAGACTGTGCTCGGAGATCTTGAGTGAATGATTTTTTATTTATTTTTAGATTTTGTATAGAAGCATGAGTGTATGTGAGTAGTTACTTTATTAGTTTAGTTTCTTTTTATTTAGTTTAGTTTATATACATTTTTTCTCGCGCGAGCTCATTACCGCGTATGGGGAGCGTCCCACGGGTGGCGGATGTGGGGATGGTCGGTGGAAATTCCTTGGAAGTTCCTCCCGGAGTCCGATGGACTCGCTGACCAACAATGAGAGGGGCCCTCCAGACTTGCTGGAGGGAGGGGACCTCCAGACTTGCTGGAGGTAGGGGCCCACCAGACTTGCTGGAGGGTGTGACGTAGGATTGAACGCCCTACTCACATATCTTTAGTTCACCAAACACCACAAACAGTCATGAATCTTCCTAAGGTAAAACGCTCATTATCCGGAGGTAAACTAGTCCCCCGTTCGGGTCTCCGGGTGGGGACTGCTTTAAGGGATTCATGAGGGACGTACAATTCTTTAGTGATAGAATTTCGGTAGCTATATTTCAGGGACGTTGGTTTAAAATCGCATTAATAAACATACATTGTCCGACCGAAGACAGTGACGATGAAGTCAAAAGTGAATTTTACGATAAACTCGAATGGTTTTATGATAAACTACCACGAAACTACATGAAAATAATTGTAGGTGACGCGAACGCAAAGGTAGGAAGGGAAGAAGTTTATATTCCGACGATTGGTAAAGAAAGTTTGCACGAATATAGTAATGATAATGGGATCCGTCTGATAAACTTTGCCATCTCGAAAAACCTGATAATTAAAAGTACGACTTTTAAACATAAGGATATTCATAAACATACTTGGACATCACCGGATTCGCAAACACGAAATCAAATCGATCATGTCTTGATACAACACAGCTGGCAAAGCAGTATAATTAATGTACGGTCTTATCGTGGAGCAGAATGTGGGTCAGATCATGAATTATTAATCGCAAAACTTCGACAAAAACTTAATATAAAAAAGAGAAAAGAAAACCGTTTTGATTTTGAGAATTTTAATTTGGAAAAATTAAAAAATCCATCAATTAGAAACCAATTCGAGCTAGATGTTAAGAATAGGTTTGAAGCTTTAGAGCTTCCTGACGAGGACCACGAGGATATTGACACGTTATGGGTAGAGATCAGGGATAATATTAAAGCGGTCGGTAACTCGTGTCTAGGAAAAAAGGAAAATAAGAATAACAAACCGTGGTTTGATGAAGATTGCTTTAACATGTGTGAAAAAAGAAAAGCCGCTAAATTAAAAGCTCTAAATAATCCTAGCGAAAACAATCTGGAATACTTCCGAATCTCAAAGAACGAAACGACAAAATTGCTCAAAAATAAAAAAAAGGGAGTATCTTAAAAATAAAATAATTGAAATAGAAACTAATAGAATCGAAAATAACGTAAGAGACATGTACAAAGGTATAAACAGATCACGTAAATATGTAGGGCCCGTAACGTCTGGAATTAGGGATGATAATAACAATATTCTGACCGATCCGGTTGACATATTGAATAAGTTTAAGGACCACTTTGACAATATTTTAAATACGGGAAATTATAATCTGTGTCCTCCTTCTGAGTACCAGAGTGCTGAACCGTTGATAGAAGGACTGAGTAAAGAGGAAGTTGAATTAGCTATCGGAAAATTAAAATCATATAAAGCAGCGGGAATCGATAATATTCCTACTGAACTAATTAAGGCATGCGGGGAAGCTGGAGTTTCTAAAATACATCGGTTGGTTAAAAAGATCTGGGTGAACGAGAAATTACCTGAAGAATGGAAAGAATCTATTCTTATTCCGATTCACAAAAAGGGTCCGAGTACGGATTGTAATAACTATCGAGGAATTTCACTCCTTCCGGTATGTTATAAAATATTCACTTTAATCTTAACCAGTCGAATCAGCCTTAGTACTGCCAAGGGCAGGATCAGGGAGATCTATGGGAACAAATTTAGGAATTACTGGACCGACAAGAAACAGAGACACTCGAAGCTGTTCCTTGAAGGCCCATGTAAAAAAAGAAGTAAACAGCTACTGAACATGGACAGAGCAGCTCTTAAAAAACTTACAGCGATTTACACAGGTCACTGTAAGTTAAATAATCATATGTTCAATCTCCGAGTAATGACGAATCCGCTATGCAGATTCTGTCAGAAGGAGAATGAAACAGCTTTTCACATCATACGCAGATGTGACAAGTTTATAAGGCTGAGACTGGCATTATTTGGGGAGGAACAGATGGATCTCCCCAGTAGATTTGAGTCGGTTAATCCAACCAGCCTACTTAGATACGCGGAAGCGACAGTACTAACGTTTTGAATAAGACGACCTAGTGAATATTGGCGCACAATGGACCCAAAGGGGTCGACGTGCTTAAAGCCAACATTAAAAAAAAAAAATAAAAAAATAACCAGTCGAATCACGGAATACGCCGAGGAAATTATCGGAGACTACCAATGCGGATTTAGACGTAATCGTTCGACTATTGATCAAATATTTTCTTTACGGCAAATATTAGAGAAAAAATTGGAGTACAACGGTATTGTTCACCAGCTGTATATAGATTTTAAAAAGGCTTATGATTCTATTGACCGCCAGAAACTGTATAATATTCTAATCGAGCAGGGGATTCCAAAAAAACTAGTAAATCTAGTCAGGATGTGCTTGACGGAGACACTAAATAAAGTTAGAATCGGTAATAATTTGTCCAAAAAATTTGAGGTTCGTTCGGGCTTAAAGCAGGGGGATTCTCTTTCGCCTGTCCGGTTCAATTTGGCATTAGAACATGCCATTAGGGAGGTAATGCGAACCGAGAAAGGGTTGGATCTGGGCGGGACAACATCCGTGCTGGGCTATGCTGATGATCTGGTACTGTTAAGCGAAGACGTTGAAACTATAAAACTAAATACGACAACGTTAATGAAAGCCAGTAAAGAACTAGGACTCGAAATAAACATGGATAAAACAAAATATATGGTTAGCTGCGAAAATGGCGATACTACTGGTGATATCGATATAGATGGTAATATGTTTGAACAGGTAGATAAATTTAGGTATCTAGGTTCTACGATAACTAGAAAAAACGAAATTGAAGAAGAGATTAAGGTTAGACCTCTTGTCCCGAAACTTAAAAATTAGAATCTATAAAACAATTATTGCATACGTTCTTTATGGATGCGAAACTTGGCGCTTACATTATGGGATGAGCAGCGTCTCAAGTTTTAGAAAATAAAGTATTGCGTAGAATATTCGGACCGAGAAGGATGAGTTAACCGGAGAGTTCAGAGGTTACACAACGCCGAATTGCGTGAGCTGTATCCGGGTAATATAATTGAGGTAATTTCATCGCAGCGAATCAAATGGGCTAGTAAAGTTGTGGGCTTAGTAACGAGAGAATTCCTAAAAGGTTAATATTTGCTGTGCCAAATGGTAAGGTCCGAGGGGTAGACCGAAGCGAAGGTGGGAAGATTGCATTAAAGCCGATCTGAAGGGACTGGGTTTGGACGGCGAACGGTGGAGGGAGGTGTGTAACAAGCGATTGGTGGTGTCGGCATCCAACCTTCGGGTTCGCTAAGCCTTATTATTATTATTATTATTATATATACATTTACTTTTAGTATTATTGTTTTTATGTATTATTTATTGTTGATAGAATGTGAATGTTCTCTCTGAAATGTCCTTAATTGTGATAGATTGTAATATCTCTCAATAAATATGTTTTAAAAAAAAATAAAATGCACACACTTATATTTACAGGAGTGATAATGAACACAGTAATATTCACATAAAATTATGATGAGATATTCTTCTTTATTTATCATATATTTATTTGTACAAAAATTAATAATAGATATTAGATTTGCAAAAATTAATAGCTTCTGAAACCCATGTCCATGTCACAGACATTCTATACCTCTTTCCCCGACCAGGCTTCTGTAGAATTAGATGGTATTCTCATCATTTCCATGATAACCAAATAACATTTAAGACTTGAATGGAAGAATTCTGCCACAATGTGACTGTTCAAATGTTGTTTAATGAATAAAAATATTTATTTTTAAGATTATGTGAGTAGGACAATATTCTTTGTTACAAATGTAAATACAACCATTGTAAATTTTATCAATATTAATTTAGTAATAAGGAATGTTCATACATACTTCTATGTGAATATAACAATATTCTTTACTGCACCTGTAAATACAACCATATTCGAATTTACAGAAGTACATATTTGTTTAGTATTCTTAATTAAATATTTAAATACAATTACTGGGGAATGAGGAGACTTTCAGGCTGTAGCTGTCTATTATTGAAAAATATTTGATTTTTTTTTTTTTATCCATATTAATTTCTTTGTGTAATATATATTTGCTGAGTACTTAACAAATTACAATATGTATTCTTTTTAAATTATAACGTATTTAAAGTAACAAAATATTTTATCTCTGAAAGCACCATTGTATCTGTATTTCTTTTCTTAGCCCTACATTTCTTCCAGAATAATTACCACTATTGAAATATTTTTTACAAAAATCTTACTCAAATCGCTACTGATGAATTTTACAGTACTTTTATTCACACCTGTAAATACAACAATATTTCCTTTTTTAGGAGTTAATACAGTAGGAAATATAGGTTTAAAATTAAAAAAAAAAGTTTAGTAAAATTAAAATTATTATTATTTTCTTTACATGTCAGGATAATAATCCAATTACAATAATACAATTAGTTTGTATTTTTCTTTTGTTCAGTTAACATGGAGTGGGGTAATAGAAGAAAACCGAATAGCTGTGATCGCCTTACACAAAGTTGGAAAATGTAGGTCAGAGATTTTCAAAACTTTGAAGCCTTTGGGTATCAGCTGTATGTTTGTGTACTGCACCATAATAGATATAATGAGACCTATCTGTATGTGACAGACCTCGATCCGTGAGAATGGAAAATGCATTGAGAGCAGTGGCTGCTCGAATCAGGAAAAATCCCATTCGAAAACAACAAATCATGTCTTGAAAAATGAGAATCTCTGCTCTGTTAGATAAATTTTTCACATGATAAAAAGGGACCTTAGGATGGGTGCATTTCGAATAATGGGAGGACAAAGACTAACCACTTCCCAAAAAAAAATTAGAGTGGATAGATGCAAAGTGCTCCTTAGCCGTTACACCAAAGGTCTTGATCGAAAGATTTTGTTTAGCCATGAGAAATTTTTACAATTGAAGAAAAATTTAATCGCCAAAATGATCGTGCGTATGCACACAGATTTAAAGAAACCTAGGAAGTCATTGGAAGAGTGGAAAGAGGTCATCATACTTTCTCAGTGATGGTTGGGTGGGTAGTTTGCTTGAATGGCACCAAATACCTCCATTTTTGTGAAAAACTAGTCAAAACAGCAGCTAAAAACTATCAGGACGATATTTTGAAACTGTTGTTAAACCTCTAAATGATACTCTGTTTGCTGGAAGTCATTGGATTTTCCAGCAGGATTCCGCTCCAGCTTACAAGGCCAGGTCAACTCAGCAGTGGCTGCAAAAGAACATTAGAGAGTTCATCTCTGCCTCAGATTGGTCCTCAGGAAGTCCTGATCTCAACCTACTAGATTATCGGATTTGTTCCGAATTGGCATGCTCCAGAGCATACCCTAACTTGGAAAGCCTCAAACAATCTCTGGTACGAGCAGTTGAGCGCTTTCCTCAAGAAGTGCTGCATGCTGCTATTGATGACAGGCTATGAAGATTAAATGTAGGGCAAAAGGGGGACATTTTTAATCATTTTCTTTTTTTTTTACTCTCTGGCTTTGGTCCAAAATGAACAGGATGGCATGCCATGCCATAGAGCTTAACTTGGAAGGGCTAACAGCATAACTTGGAAAGCCTGAAACAATCTCTGGTCTAAGCAGTTGAGCAGTTTCCTCAAGAAGTGCTGTGTGCTGCTATTGATGTCTAGCCATGGAGATTAAATGCCTGTGTCAAGCCAAAAAGACATTTAGAGTAAGTTTTTCTTTTTTTACTCTATAGATATACATTTTATTTTCTAATAAAGTTTTTGAAAAAATTTATTTTTCTGTTGAAATCTGTATATATTTTCATGTAACAATATTTATGTTAGTCCTGTGACTAGGTATTGAAAATCCTTCATACTCATATCTTTACAGAAAAGAATGGATTTTCATGAAAAACCAAAACAATAAAAAAAACAATGAAAAATAATGTGTTATGCTCAAATGTCAATAATACTCAATTTTGAGGATTCTGCACTCATTAAATTAATAACGGCTAACAAAAATAAGATGTAATAGTAGTGGGTTAGAGAAAGCCCATCTGGAACAATAGATTTATTTTTAACCCTCATCTGACAAGCAGGAGAGGAGTTAATAAAGTATACGTAATAAAGTAGACATTTTTTCCATATTTCTTCACTTTGATGATATCAACATTGGATAGCCAGAAACCATTAACACTTTTCAAAATCCATTAAGTCATTATGCCAAATACCAGGTGCTGCTATCTTTATAATAAATATCGCTCTATTAACTTTTTGGTAATTGAAATTGCCTAAATTCTTGAGCTTTTTTTTCATCTATAACGATGTTCGTGCCATACCCTGAGTCACCTTCTCTCTTCCTATACCAACCAAAATGTTCTTTCCTTTTCCGATATCTTCCGTTCTGGAAATGAAAAAGTACAATTTTCTATAATGATTAATCTGTAATGATTAACCTTAGCTATATGTATTCCTCATCCCAATATAAGAAACAGGTTGGTGTCTTGATCATCCACCACGTAACACCTTGAATGACAGCTGTGACTTCTTCGAGCATCAATCAAATCTCTGCTCTTTATTTACTTTATACCTGAGCCAAACTTTCTTTGCCCTGAATCAGGTCTGCCTTCTCACTAGCTTTTTCTACCATTTGTGCAAGATTCACAAATTTGGACATAGTCATATTTTCATGTTGTTTTCATTTTTTTAAACCAATCCATATAACTATAAACGTAAGTTTCTGAGTAGACAGCCTAACTTTTTTTTAGGACTTGGTAAATGATTCTTAAACACTTCATATTTATCCAGTCAACATAAGATCTTAAGAAACTCTTAATTGGCTAAATGGCTGCTGGTAATGTTGAATTCGGGTGATCATCGTAGTGTAATCTGTAAACTCAGTGCAAAAAAGAAATAAAATAATAAAAAATCAGACTTATCAGTTTTATAGAAAAGTTGTGAGATTTTCCTGAAGTGAAGTTATTTGGTCTAGTAGTTTCAGAGAATACGCGATGAGGTGACACTTTGTTCAAAGATTTTATTCAAAGTTAATATTAAAATATGAAAGATATTAAAGTTGAAAACTCATAATGGCTAAATTAAAAAAGTTACTGTGGATTTCAAACATACAAAGTCGCCAAAATATTCCCGATACTGGTAGACACCTTATTTTAATATTATATTATTTTATTTTAATATTATATTTATAGTGCAATAAATAAGAATTCTGAATCAAATAAAAGTCATGTTTAAAAAGAAAAAATACTACATTTACATACCTTCCAGGATAGTTCCAATCATATGCAAAGGCTATAATTTGAAGAAGTAATGTTATTCCTCCTAATCTTAATAAATTATCGACAGGATGCCATTGTGCACGGAAAGACATATACTCCAGGAGTATATTTAATTGTTCTTTTACATCTTCAGGACTGCTTTTGCAAGCCTAGAACAAATATAATAAATTTTAACAAATTAATTACATTTTTAAGTTTATCACATTTATTATTTAAAACAGAACGTTATGTCAACTTAGTTTTAATAGAAGGTAAAACGGCAGCTAACCTGACCTTATAGCTTGGGAGTGTGGTAGCTAATTTTGAATGTTCTATATTGTCCCTAAAATGAGCTCTTTTAACTTGCTCTGACCTGATATACAGATGAGCTTCAAAATAACGCTTCAGAGCAACAGATACATGACGGACAATCTGCCTGGCAGAACACTCTTCATCTTCATTCATTAGGTCAGAGGTTTCAACAGATAATATTGACAGTGTACTTATCTATAAAAAAAAAAAAAAAAAAAATTAAGTTATACAAATAATGTAATAATAGATGTCAGTTTTTAAAGAAACAGATTTACATTAGGTTAAGTTTTTTTGATTTAGTAATATTATTTCCCTGTTTTTCTAATTAATTAATTTTTAATGGGTGATAAATATTCAGGACGCAGTCATTATAAAGTTTTTATTGGTGCCAACGTTTCAATCCAAACATTTATGTGGTTCATCATCAAGGCTGAAAAATTGTTTAATACATTCAGAGACGTAATGTTATAAGGCAGATAATGGTTAATAATAAAAAAAAATAGTGATGGACGATACATGAAATATGCAAATGAAATATGTAGAACGTTATACAAACTAAAAATAATGTATATAATCAATTTATAAAAAAGGTAATATTTACTTTTATTCCTAGATTGGTGTCTTGAGGTTTTATTTTTGATATAAATTAGGCCATTATTCACTGACATGACTGAAATGACGTAGGGGAAACTCTAAAATATCAGGACAGCTTAATTTCCTCTGAAAAATTAATACGATACTGAATAATGGAAATTTAAGGGAGGACTTAATAAGACTTGAAAATGGTCCTATTGATGGTTGAAATAATAAAATAATTAATAAATAAAATGTTGGTGAATAATGGTCTAATTTATATAAGTAATATTTACTCTTACTAAACGTGTTTCAAACACTGAAGGTATTCAAGTATTGACACATTGGTATGTAAGTTAAAGGGTCGGATAAGGATTTTCCAGATGTGCATTTAAAATAGAAAAAGGAAGGTAAACATAGTCAGGGGCAAGGTCAGTAAAACTACCAGGTTCGCTCACCCAGAAATGCGAGGTGGGGGAACTTGAAACGTGACGTAAGGAATAGACTGCGAGACCTACTTATTACTCTTTCAAGCCTATCAATGAAGGCTTATTTCAACATTATTGTGCTTTTTTTTTGGTTTTCTAGTTTAATTTATTGAGAAGAATACTTTTCTGTGTTTTTGACATTTGATTGAAGATAATTTCAAGCAGATAAATAAATAAATACGGCTATCAATCTAGAATAAAATGCTATAAAGATGACAGGGCAGAACTGAAACGAAAAGAACGAAATTGATATTAAGATTATTTTTAAATTCTTTATTTCAAAATCTCTGTAAATAATATACAAATATATTACATAAATAGAAAAAACTAAGATTTATATATATTTAGAGAACATTTTAGCACAATGTTTGTGTAATTTTGTTTGTAGGTCTCGTGGGTATTTCTTTTAATATTATAACGATATTATAATAATATTATAACGATATTATAATAATATTATAAGGGTGGACATCTTTGTCAGGATTTGCAGTAAAAATTTCTTTAAATAAATAAATAAAATTAAAAAATGCTGCAAATTATTTCACAATGGCTTATTATTTCCAAACAATTATACATCTAAAGTAACATTACCTTCTGAGTTACAAAGAAAAAAAAACAAAAGGTGATTCCAATTATTGGACTAAACTGTTTTTCTTTAATCATTAGTAATATGCTAAAAAAAATAGCATTAGTTCAGTAACACATTTAAAATATAAAAACCAAACCAAGGATATAACATTTGGAGTAGAACACATTTAAAAAAACCGGAGACCATATCTTAGCTCCTAATTGTCGGATTTTAACGTTTTTTTTTTTTTTAGGACATTTCGTAAACTTTTAAAAAACCATATACAATATCAACAAAAAAGTAAAAACTTTTCGGATTATTCGGAATTTAATTTTACCATCCCTTATAACTTTTTTTCCAGCTTCTTTTCGTTGAAGTATGTTATATAGATAAATATAAAGGGTGGCGAAAAAATTACTTTAGCGAAGTTTCATTGAAATCTGTACATTCGTTTAGGAGCTACAGTCTATAGCAACGCAGGTATTTCGGCCGCCATTTTGAAAGTTAAAGGCGGAGAGTAATGTCGATGAAGGAGGATCATCCTCGGGTGACCTCTGATTTTATATCAAAATTTGAAAAAAATCGGTCCAGTAGTTCCGGAGAAAATGCGCGGACGGCGTACGGCCAAAAAAATTTTTATTCTTTTTTTGTATTCTATGCGTCTTGAAACGTGAAACCTCAAATTTTGAGGGGGAGTTTTTGAATTTTTTGGTGGATCACAATGTTTCACTGTTGAAAATAATAAACCAAAATAAACAAATTTTACTGCAAATCCTGATAATTTATTTTCACCTTATAATCTTAACAGTCAACTACTTATCCGTCTCTAAAACAATATTATAACGAGTATTTTTTTTTTACTTTTAATAACATGTTACAGTGAATTCGTTATTAGTTTTTCTTTGTTATTATTAGTATTTCTTGTATTTCTCATAATAACATAATTATTAATAGAATGCTATAGAATGCCACACAAAATGCGCAGTTGTATCTTGCAACAATAATCTAATTGACACAAAGAAGATGGGAAAGAAAATTTCATTTCATACTTTACCAAAAGACGCTCGAAGAAAAGATTGGATTTTAAAATGTAAATGTAAAAAAATTTACTATCTTTTTCTTAGGAAACAAAATGTAGAAATTAATGAAGAAAGCCTTTCTTTCAGCAAAGGGTATTTAATAGAATAAAATTTTTAAATACCCAATGATTTTTACAACAATTAAGAACACATAAAATCAAAGCCAAAAAAAAAATTGAGAAAAATTACTACATAGGATTACTTATGACATAAAAATGTAATATTTACAAAAATTCACGGAAAGAAACATTTCTTTAATATTAGATTAAATACTTTTTTTTTTCAATATTTCTATTATTTTATATTATGCTCTGTATTTATTTGAAATATTTAAAAAGTAGTATTGTGGTACTTTGCAAAAAATCATACAACAACTTGTTAAATTACATTTTATTTGCTTCAGAATAAACCAAATATCAAATCAACCTTTCTCTCACCTTTCAAATTTATTAAAATTAATAAATTAATAAGTTATTTGGCAATACTGTATTGATTTAATGTATAAAAGTAAATAATAATCCTAAAATGTCCAGAAACAAAGGCCGGAGGGGTAAACTCAGTCTTTTGGCTACGTCAGAGCTCAATTCCTCACCACCATTTTCCCTCTGAGTGAGCCAACCTGGTAGTTTTACTGACCTTGATCAGGGGGAGAGGGAGGGAGGGAGAGAGGCAGTTACATTTGTTTGTAGAATGTAAATAATTTGATAAATAAAATATTGAAGATGTATACAACATTTGCGTTGTTTTTCATAGTTACAAAATTATGACTGTTGGCTTGTAATGAAATTTTTTTATTTTTTATTTTTATTTATTCATCATATTTACAACTGTATTAAAAAATTAAATACATTAAGTAAATTTGATAACAGAAATAATAACATGAAATGACTTGTTGAGAAACTACCCACTGGTAGCACTCTAAAAACAAAATGTATTTACAATAAGATATCTCGAGGCCATCTTCTTTTCAGACGCCTCGGAGGGTTATCAGGAATAGAAGAGGAAGCAAGGTTAGACGAGAGGATTCGGATGGTTCTGAAGTTTATTATGGAAGGATTGGTATCTGGATTGGGCCAAATCGGAAACATAAGGAGCATTAAGGTCATTATGGATTATTTTATTGGTGACAAAGTAAGGAGCATTGAGGATTTTCGGAAGGATTTTGGATTGTAAGGATTGCATACCAGAGGAATTCGATGGCTTAGTGGAGCCCCAAAGCTCAACTCCGTAAGTCCAAATAGGTCTTATTGTAGTCATGTATATAAGTCTTTTGTAATTAACTGGAAGCTTAGAGCGTTTGTCTAGTAAGTGTTGGAGTAGTCGGAAACGTCGAGCGGTTTCTTGTCGTTTCAGTCTGGTATGAGGATTCCAAGTAGACATTTGTCCAAGTGTAGTCCAAGGTATCGGATTTGTAATGAAATAAAAATAAATAAGAGGTGACAATCAATATAAACCTAAAATAATTTGAGTGAAGATATAATACAATAGTTAGTCAAATAGAGAAAATTGTAATGAAATCAAATGGTAACTAGTACAATATATTATATAATATTTTAAGAATAACAATATTGATCATTAAAAAAAACTATTATATTAAGGATTACATAGTACTAATAGTATAAGTTTAAATATATTCGAATATGTATTGCATATATTTTCTTTGTCTACTTTGTGGTTTACAGATTATTTTTTTCCAAATTAATGAATAGAGCTTCCGAAAGTAGTCGTTTTTGATGGTTGGGAACTGCAGCAAGAATGGTTGGGTTGTCAAAATAAAATGTGTGGTTAATAGCGTGTTAGGTTAGTTTGGAGGCAAGCAGGTTGATTGTTGTGACGCTGTATTTGTGTTAGTATATTTTTTATTTAGATAATTTTTAGTTTCTCCTACATAAGAATTGCAGTTTGGACTAGAGCATGTGATATGGTATACTACATTTTACTGTTGTAGCAGCGGACCAGCATCTTTGAGTTTGGTGAATAGATTTCTCAATTTGCTATTATTTTTTAAAACTCTATATAGATGAGGGAATTTGGAAGTTAAAGATTTTTTAGAGATAAAACTGGGATGTATGGAATAGATCTGTATTGAAGAATCGTGGTGGGAGATAGAGAGCAGTTTGTGGGAGACTGGTGAAGATGAGGTTTGGATTGATTTTTGATTAGGTTTATTTATTGTGATCAGGAAAGACATTGGATTTCAGGATCTTGAGTAGTTTAGTTAGGTTATTGTCGTGGAATTGCGGGTTAGATAATGTTAGACTGCGGTGTATCAGGTTTTTAGCTACATTGATTTTTTGATGGTAAGGATGTTGGGAAAAATAGTTTAGGAGACAGACGGCAGGAGTACGTAGGTTTGGTGTACCAATTAGTGGATACTATATTATCATTATTTCTTTAAATGAGGAGATCAAGAAAAGGAAAGAAATTATTTGATTCAATTTTAATGTTAAAACGGAGTCGAGGGTGGTATGCGTTGAATGCAGAAAGTATGTTTGGAATAGTGTGAGGGTTGAGGATTAATAAGAGGTTGTCAACATATTTTTTAGTGAAAAAAATATCATTGGGAAATTGGAGTAATATCGAATCAAACAATTTTTCAGCCCTGATGATTACCCACATGTTTCGGTTGAAATTTCGGCACCAAAAAAACTTTATAGAAGACTGCGTCCTGAATAATTATCACTGACGATATGTAGAACAGTCGACTAACTTCCTTCAATAACTAATTAATTTTTAATCTTCAGTTGTATTAGCTATCTCCCTTTTCTATAAAGAATTATGACATGTTTTGTGTGATTGCCACAAAATTCTTATTACAAAGAAGTGGGAGCTATGGAGTCATATATAAGAATACTTTATATAGTATTTTAATTATCCCATTACTCTACTGAATATGTTAAATGCTGTTTGTTTATCATGGGAAAATCAGTGTAACATTTATTTTTCATCTCCTTTATTTTAACTTAGGTTTTAAAAATACATACCACATTATAAAGTTTCCTTAGGCCATCTTGAGCATCAAATTCTTCAAGAATTACTCTAAACTGGAATGACAACCCAAAGAACATTGTAGCATGACATCTCCCAGAATCATGTGAGCATTCCAGCAGCCATAAAGAATATCTAAAAATGTATGTATATAAATAGAAAAAAAATAGTAGTATTTTTCCAAAACTAAAACAAAATTTTTGTTTTCATACCTAACCAAATCAGAAAGGATTCTTTGTGGTAAAAGACAAACACGTTCCATGGCATCCTCGCAGTATGCCAAATAATACAAACAAATTGAAACACCTGTGGCTGCAATGCTTGGTCTAGGAACTTCAAGCAGCCTCTAAACAATAGATATATTTATAATGTTAAAAACATGTTGCTTAATAAATAATAAACGCAATTAATCATAAACCAGTGAATTTTTTTAAAAACATTTTATGCATTAGTGTTTTTAAAAATTATCACTAACAGATTAGTATATATTTAGGATGAGTGGATGTGTGTATATATATATATATATATATATATATATATATTTTTTTTTTTTTTTTTTTTTTTTTTCCTTTATATATATATATATATTTTTTTTTTTTCCAGATTTTTGCTACTGTAAAAAATTAATTTCAATTTTCTAAGTAGTATTCAAACCACTGTTATTTCAAGTGTAAGGTTACTACAACCATAAACTTGTAACTTATCTGTATGACATGTTGTAATATATAAAAAAAAAAATTAAAAAAAAAAAAGGACGAGTGGAGTGAAGTACATGAAAAGAGTGAGTCTTTAAAGTCATTCATATTTATTATGTATTTAAATCAAATTAATGATTATTCAGTAATCAAAGGAATGGTGGGAACAGTGTTGAGGCAGATTTGCAAGTTTTCTAAACATTGCAAATACGAATACAATTAAAATCTCAATAATAATTTATAAGCCTGTTTTTCAGAGAAATATTTTTATTTTTTTTAAATATCAGCAGAAATGCAAATATCTTTTGTGTTTTCAAACAAGCCTACGGTTATATAACGCTTTCTTCATGCTCGGATTTATTTTTGACAAAAAAACAAACAATAGGCAAGATCAGCCAGAGAAACATGCACGTCAAGCCAAATACCCCATTTTCACGCTCCTTGCCATGGATAAGATCTTAAAACACATTTAGCATTCTTGTTTATTGCATACTTATTTTTAAAATATGAAAAACAAAACAAAATTTTCGAAAATAAATCAGTAGGATCCTGATTTACAAGAAAAATATTAAGCTAAATATGTTTATTATTTTTTTACAAGTACATAACTAAATGTGAGAAATATATAAGAACATGAATCCTGAAAGCAGAAAAAACAAAACCGGATATTTAAGAAAAAAAAAAATTAGCTCATCAATCATTTAAGAAAAAACACAAACTTAAACATAAATCAACATTTCAAATTATTGAATAATTTAAGGAAACAGATCATAAGTAAAATAATATTTATTAAGAAATATAAATGAATATTTTTTAAGGTGATTAGGTGTAAAATTTCCTAACATAAAGCCTAATACTACATAATAATGAAACAAAATACCATAATGCCAATAGTTAACAACAATTCCAACATTTAACTAAATAACACAAATAAATAAATTTCAACACTTGAAACTAAATTTGCTGGAACATTAATTTAAAAAAGTACAATGTATTTGTCATTCGCTATAAAAATAATTAAATTTTCTCAATGTTTTTGTATTTCAAATGTATACTTATTTATGGCAAATGAAACACTTCACCATAATAAAGATTTCTTACTCTCCTCAAACACAGAAACATACTCAGTTTCTTAACTTTAAATTGACTGGCACTGGATTACAATTTCATTCTTGGACTAAAATATTTGTTAAGAGAACACAGCAAAGTTCTAATTTAATTTAATTTAATTTAAATTAAATGAAAAGATAAGCAGCACTGCTGCCATCTCTTGGCAAGTAAGAAAAGCATAGAGACACGAGTCCAGACAAACAGGGTTCTTGGAAGATTCATATCAACTTAAGAGAGGAGACATAGCTGGCCAGCAATCAATTGACATTAGTAACATTATTTATAAGAAAAATAGAGTAGATACTCTAGCTTTGCAATAATTTATTGTAGTCATTGTAGCTGAAAACATGGGTACTTAAATGTGACAGGATATCAAAATACATTTATTTACAAAATTTGAGGTGAATTTCAACTTATTTCGTAATAAACCCTCAATTTAATTAATATGGGCTTGAAGCTTACTGAACAAGAAAGTTTTTCTACAAGTGGGGAGTCATAATGTCAGAAATGACTTATATTTATATCATAACATAGCTTAGTTCATTCGCTCAAAAGCTCTCTTTCTTTTTATGGTTTTAACAATAACTAACTCTACTTTCAATTGAACCAAATTTTGTCTAGTTTACAGCGAAGCAATTGTTGATTATTATATTAAATAATGTTAAAGTTATCACTTCCAATACAAACATATAAAGCTAACAAATATATACAAATAAATTTTAAATATTCAATATTATACTTGTTTGTTTTAGAATAATTATGTTCAATTTTTACACATAATAAAAACTACCGCCAGAAGACAATTCTACGAGAAGGAACAACACAGGTTTGAGGACTGAGATCTCGTGGGACAGAGGAACAAGGAGTAAACAATTCGAGAAAGTAAGGTTTTTTTTTGGTTGAAAAGGTTCGGAAAAGGTATACACGTAGGAAATATTGCCGTTGGAAGACTGGATAGGAATATACACAAGTAATACTAAATATCTATTTATAATAAAATAATTATTTTAAATCTCACCCGTAATCCATTAACATTTATAAATTCAATAGAAAATTTCTTGTGACACAGCAGAGCAGCTAAATATTTCAGTGCTTCAAAAGAAAGTCGTGAGTTCTTGGTCTCTCTTAAATTAATAAATTGCAGAATCAATTCAAGTGCATTTTTTTCGAAGACATGACTCAAAAACTATAACAAAAATATATATTATTCGAATGAAAATAACATAATTCAATCAAAGAACATAATACAGTTCACAATAATTTTCAAAATATTGTAAAGATCAATCTTAATTTTAGAATATATCACAATTATTAATAAAATCATTGATACCCAATGAGTATTTTAAAATGCTATATGAAAAAATAGTTTATTAAAGCTCTATAACAAAACATGGTCAGAAGAACATCTCTCTCATAGTTGGACAAAAATAAAAATGACTCTGCTCCATAAAAACAGATCTACAGGTGGTTCTGAAAACTATCAAGGGACCTCCTTGATGAATAACATCTTAAAAATTTTTACCTGCGTAGTTTATAATACTCATAAAATGGGAAGAGAAGAAACTGTTGCCAAATATACAAATGGGATTAAGGAAAAATAAGGGTTGAAGGGATGTTTTTATCTCATCATAACTAATCTAGTTCTCAGGCTCAAAAAAAGAAAAGTAATAGCTACTTTTAATGACTTTAAGAGACCCTTCAACTCAGTGAAACATGAGCAGCTTTGACAAAGGCTCCATGATATAGATTTAAAAGGAAAAATCCTAAAACTTATCATAAATCTGTACAATAATGCATCATTATCATAACCAATGGCAACAATTCATCAAAAGATATTCCTATCACTGAAGGGGCTCTGCAGGGTGACATTTTAAGCCTACTACTGTTCCTCCTCTATATAACTTTATTTTCTTTAAGTCTAAACTGACTTTTTAAACTCTATGAAAGCTAGAAGTATTGACATTTTTTATGTGATAGCACTGATTCTTATACTGTATACAGAAGATCTAGTGATCCTGGCTGACAACTGGAAAGATGCTTATCACGACCTAAGAATCCTGGAACCATACTACATTCCACACTACTCTATTACTATCAACTACATTCCATAAAGGGGATAGAGTAGTCAACTATAAAGACTTGATATGCAATAATCACACTATTGAAATTGTGAACAAATTCATTTAGTTGGAGGTTCCATTTTATTCATCAGTCAAATTCTCACAGGCAGGTTCCTATTTCAGCTTAAAATATAATATGGCTAATAATTCAGTATTTAAAATACTCTAAAATTGCAATTGAGAAGTATGACAAACAAAAATAAAACTATACAAATCAATTGCAGAAAACACACTACTCTATTTATCTGAAATTCGGGACCCTGAATGCACAGAAACAATTAAAAAGCTCCTCTACCTTCCACTCAATACACAGCTTTGTACAATTAAAGACTGGACGGCCTCACACACAAATTTAAAGTCTTGAAGAGGAATGCTGGTGGTCAGAGGATGACTTGTGCAAGAAGGAACAGTGTGTTACGTCGCCCTCATTAAGAATGTTATGCTCTACAACCTAACTTTCAACTGAGTAACTGAGTAACAAAATACTCTAGATGTATTAGGGAGTGAAAAGTGTATGGAAAACCAACCTTTCTATCAAAGGAAGAGATTGATATTATTGAGAAAGCCCAAAATAATTGGCTAAGTAAAGATATAGTTTGTCTTGAACAACTCATTCAGCCCCATATACAGATGTTTAAACATTTCAGGTGCTATTGAACCTTATTTAAACATGAAGATGCTAATACCTAAAATCAGATTCGTAGCTCAGATAAGGCCGATGGGACAGGAGCATGCATCAACAATCGGTTTCAACAAAAAAGCAATAGACTTCAAGCCAGAAAAAAACTTCCCACTGTGCAAAAAAAGTAAAGACACAATTTTCCACCTCCTTGGCAATTGCCTTATTTTTAATGGTATTACGAGGAAGGTTATAAGCACCACAGAACTATCCATAAATTGTCTGGAAGCCGTCTGAAGAGTAGAAGACATAACAAATTTCAATAAACTATCACTATTCCTGTCACCTTAAATTAAGAAACTTATAATTAGACTGAGAAAGAATGACTGAAGATAAACCCTTAGGAAGTTTCAAAATGAATAAGTTTTGTTTTATTGTATTAGTATATATATATATTTATTATATCATGTTTTATTGTATTATTCATTGTATTGTATTAGTAATGAAAATGTAATTGTACACACATATGTATATTTTCTGTTTTTTATAAATAAGAATGTATCTCCAAAACAAGTTTAAAATGTTAATTTAAGAAGTTTAAATAGTTATTTTAGTCAACTCCTTGCTGTAAAGTTTTGTGCTTTTCAGCAATATAAAAATTATTATTAATAATTAAATAATACATAATCAATCAAGAAACTATATTTGTTACTATTTGTTTATTTATAACTACAAGTAAGGTATATGAAACAAATACATTTTAAAAAAGAAGAGAAAAACAAGCAATAGATTTTGTTTATCTATCATTTATTATTTACTTCACTATCACATTTCCTTTATTACACAGGAAGTTAATAATAAATAAGTTATCTTCTGCTGAAGGGTTGGGACCATGGGTTGTAGACCATCATACTCTTGAACTGGTTGAGTAGCTGGTGAGTTATTTTTTGTGACCTCATTGATTCTGAAACCCCATGAATACATCTATCTATATATTTTATAACCTGATTTGCAACATGAGGTCGAGCGTTATCATGGGCCTTGACTTAAGCACATAGATTATAATCTACAGCATTCTACTATGGTGATTTTATTGGGCTAAAGAAGCTAATAATAAATAACACCAAGAAGCTAATCCCACCAAAAGATAACACACGGTGGAAACTTATTCACACACCCGCTAATTATTTTATTTTTGCCAACAAAATTATTAAAAACTCATGAATGAAGCACATATTTTAAAATTATTAAAAAATTGGGTAGATAAACAAATTATAACATAAAAATGTTTGGAATGAAAGCTCTAAGCTAAAAGTGTAAAATGACAGCATATAATAATGCGCTAACCGGAATTGCCACTTTATATCATCAATTTTGCTTAAATGCCTACTTTTCAAAATTTTATTAAAGTTCCTATGATTTTTTTTATTTTAAAGAATTATGAATGAATGTGAATGAATAAATTTTATTCTTTACATTTAAAAAGAAATAAAAATTCTAATAAAGAAATAAATTTACAAAAAAGCTATGAGATACCCATCAGCTTAAGTGACAGATTAAATAACAATTGCATTTGGTATACATTTTTTTTTCTTTCAAGAAATGACAATAAAATAATAAAGAATTAACCACCTGAAAAAAGAAAATTAACTATTGAAAAAAAAATTAAAATAACCACTTATAAGAATAATTTTTAACCACTTAACATTGTAACCTGCTATAACAAATAGATATATATAAAATACGAAAGAAATTTATAATCAACTGAAGAAGAAATAAGGGATCGTAATTGGGAACTGAAGAAACCCCAATGCCTGAAAGGTTGGAATAGGCTTCCATAAGTAACACGTGCTTAATATAATATGGGCTATGTTAATATTAAATACATATACATTAGGGATCGAACGATATAGAAATTTTGGCCAATATCGATATTTCAAAGCCTGATATGGCGATGTATCGGCCACTTTTTCCTCTTTCCGTCAAATTTTCAATAGATTCACATGGATATCCTAATTATTGCAAAATAAAATAATAAATAGACCATCTATGCATTGGCCTATGCAAAAATTTTGACTGATAAACCTATATTTCAGCATATTGGTCATACATTTCTGTTTTTACGCTTCTCTACCCATAATTTAAGCAGATAACGATATTCTAAACACCGATACATCGGCCTTATGATCTTCTTTATCATGATTCATAGAGTTTCGCTTGGAATAAATATTATTTTTTATTCCTAATAAATGTGTCAGTCTCCAAGGAATAGACAAAAACATAAATTTGAGCGAAAACTGATAAATCAACCTCACGACTTATTTTATGAAGATTGGTAGAGTTTCATCGTTTTTTTTTTTAAATTATTTTATTTATATATATTAATTTTTTTACTAGACCAATTTATCGGCATTAAGATTTAATTTTATCGAGATTAGTATAGTTTAATAATTTTTTATTTTGTGCTTGTCTTCTTCCAATTTTTTTTTTTTTTTTCAGTCCATCCCATGGACCGATATATCAACTTTTTGACCTTATTCTTTCATGATTCATATATTTTCACTTGGAATATTATTTATATAGATAATAAATGGGCCAATTAATTGCCATGGAATTGACATAAACATAAATGGGAATAAAGGCCCAATGGTTATATCAAGATAGGTAGATTTTAAATTTTTTTTATTTTTTTTCTCTCCTAGATTTTTTTTGGTTCTCCCATTGGACTGATGTATACTATTTTATGGTACTTGTGAACAATCCGGTCGGGACGGAAACTCCCATCTTATCTAATCTTACATCATATAACCTCCCTTCTAACCTCCTGTAAGCAGTTGTTATCCTTCTGTAACGTGTGAGTTATTCCATTGTTTATTTTTTGATAATTTTGTCATCTCTTGAAATGGATATTATTATACTGTGGGAATTACCTTCTTCAGAAGAAGAAGCTATCAAATATTTTCAAAAGGTCAGGATAATTTCAAAGGTGAAATTCTGTGAAGAAGGTCATGAAATGAAGTTTGACAGGAAGACCAAATAGAGATGCTTTCGTAGCAGTTATAACTAAAACGTATCTATAAGAAAAAGAACGTGGTTTGAGAAGTCAAAAATTACCTTTTCAAAGGCTTTAAAATTTATTTATGGATGGTCTAGTAATTTACCAATACAGTGGAGCAAAGAGCAGCTGAAACTATCGAACTAAAGTGTGATAATGTGGAACAAATTTTTAAGAGAGGTTTGTACCCATAACATGTTATACAGGTCAACTAAAAAAATTAGAGGGCCTGGCAAAGTCATTGAAGTAGACGAGAGTCTTTTTAATAAAAATAAAAGTGTTTTATATGTACACATGTTGTTTATATAAAGTGTGAACGTATATGCGCAGTATGCATTAAGTGTTAATGTAGTATTTTGCATAAAATGTAAAATACTACATAAACAAACTAA